CGTGTAATTAAACAATTTTTATTAAAGACTTAATTGTTTTTTTTTTGTTATGCAAAGGGAGAGTCTTAAAATTTGCTTTTTTAAAGTTTATTAAGAATATCAATATTAATATTTTATTTTGTTGTGTTACTGCTCTGCATTATGATTAGATTACTAGATTATTTACGGTTTTTGTTTAGTTTTAAATTTAAATAGCTACCTCAGATTCTTTTTCGTAGGTTTTACTTTTTTTGCCAAAGTTCCTATGTCCCGAATAATTAACATTAAAACATATGAGACTGATTTTTCAATAAAAGTTATGTATGAACCTATTTTTATTATCTATTTGATTTACCTACCTATAAATCTGACGTGATTTTACGCATAGGAGAGAAACTATTATTTTCTTAAATTTAAAACTTTACTCATATTAATTTAGCCGCACTTACCACGAAGAAAATCACGAAAATCCTTTACTGAAATTAATAAAATAAAAAGCCGATTAATCAGCGGTTTAACCGATTAATCGCCGACTAATCGGTGACTACAAATAGGCCGATTAATCGGCTTCACCGATTAGTCAGCGGCTAATCGGCCCAACTCAAATAAAAAAATATATATATATATATATATATATATATATATACTTTTACTCGATACTATTTCCTTTTAATCGATATGTGATTATAAGACTTTAATATCTTTATTAAAGTCTTATAATTATATTATACGATTTTCCATTAGAAGTCTAATTTACGTTGTTTATTTGTCCACATGACAGTAAACATAGTACAGGTATGACGACCAGGGAAACAGATATAGGCATTATTGTTAATCATAAAAAGCAATTGTTATAGAGTAACTTCTAACTATTGATAAAAGTGAATGGAATAAAATTATAAATCATTTCTAGTTGACATGTCCATATTATTCATTACGTATTAATTTTATAACGATATGAACTAGCAATTATTGAACTATTTCTGTATTGTACATTTAGGATGAATATTCCATAATAATAAATTACAAAAACGATTGTACGTTATTCAGGTGTTTGTTATTAATGCAAATTTACACTTTAGCTTACTAAATTATAAACAGTGATGAAAATTATCAAAGATAACGAATCGTTCTTGAATGTAATACTATTATTTGCACAGTGTAATAAAACGATCGAAATAAATACAATAAAACACAACCTCGAGTAAACGTATGAAGTAGTCTCTTGATACAGCTGCAGTGAACAAGCATTACATGTCAAAACAACAAATATTTTGTAAAAAATCAAAACACGAATAGTCTTGCTATGTTCACTTCACCTTAAGACGACCTTATAAGTAGTTTTAGTGACAAAAACATACAAATATGTTCACTGTACATACATTGTACAAGCTACATATTAATAACGGTAGAATTTCGAATATTTTAAATTTTTAATCACCTCATGTCAATGTTATCTAACACAGTAGTTAACAAAGGTTTACCTTGATACATTCATGCTCCATGTTAAAAATAAAAATATGCCTTCGAAGAAATTATATTCCTTATATTAACCGGAATGAAAATAAGCATATTTTTCCATGAGCGACTTCAACAAGTTTTTTATAGTCATATGCATTTTCATTCATTGTGAAATTTTTAAAATATTTAGGTTGAAATAGAAAAAGCCCAAATTTGAAGAGTAAGTTAAATTACGGCGTCTATGGCATTCCGTCTACCTCAGAGACATCTATAGTTGATTGTAGCTATTCGTTGATACTTACAACACTGACATGGGGTCTAACAATTACTTTTAGAATCCATAATTACATATGAAGTCTGTTCCAATCCAATATTCTACGAATTTAAACAACAAGTAAATTTCTTTTAAATTTAAAAGTATTTTGTGTTGAATAGTTTATTATTTCCAAAGCATAATAAAATATTTTTATATGAATTTGCTTTAGATATTTCAAATTAGGAGTAACACTGTTATGTTCGGAAGAAAATTGCATTGGCACTGACTAGTATATTTGGCCAAAAGTTGGTCCAATCGCATACGACAACAGCGAAATTCGCGCACGCTAACGCACGGCGCTCGGAAAATTAAGCAATATGAACACCGGCTCAACCCCTCTTAGCCCTTGGTGTCAAAATCGAAGCTTTAGACCCTGTGACAAAACCTAGCGTCAAAGATAAAATTTTAGATTTTAAGAGCTAACTCTACGCCTAAGTTAACTTAGTGTAATTGAATTTTTCAGGTACTTAGTCGGCGATTTTTTAAAAATTTAAACTGAGTTAATAGATTATATTTATATTATATTTACAACGCAGCTGGCATTTTAAAAAGTCAAAGTAAAAATATTTTTTTCATTGATAAATGACATCTTATATAATTTATGTAAACAAGATAAATATTTTTATTGAATCTCAACTGCGTTTTAGTTTTTAATAAAATTTTAAATTCTTATGCCTTTAGCTTAGATATTATTTTATGTTTGTAAGATTTCATTTGTAAATTCTTAAGCAACTGCGTTTGACTTCTTAAAATGCTCTCGCTGATCTCAATAAGACTTATTTTACACAAATAAATTGTACCTAGGTGCATCTATTACTTATTGTACGCGTTCGTATGAAGAAGCAAGTGGTTTTTCTCAACTTTTTAATATTGAAACATGTATATAATTTTTAATGAAAACCAAAGGTGGTAGGGATTTTTTGTAACTCAATTTAGGAGAAAGGCATATATTTTTATCTTATATTATAATATTTTTGAATTAATATACAATAAAATATGTGAGGGAGGCGGAACAAACTAAAAACTTATAGTTTTAACAAAAACTTAAAATACGGTGATGAGTTCTACCAACGATGGTGGAACTAGTGGAGTGCAATAAAGAAAATCAGTGTAATACAATCTTAGTGCTAAAATAAATAAAAAATACTAGCTACCAGAATGTGCTGTCTGTGGCGGAAATAACCTATTACCACAGGTGGATGGGTATTACAGAAAAAAAACTGAATCCATTCAACATTTAAATCGTTAACACCTAAAAGAATCTTACAACGAAGAAAATGAGGTAGATATAATTGTGATATGGAATAATGATCAACTAACTTATATTTTTATACAATTAAAAAAAAACAGGCTTTATAACAAAGTTCCACTGTCTCAGGGAAAAGGTACACAATAGATAACGTTTAGTAACTTCCGTAACACTATCGATAAACTATTTCACGTGTTTCATATAATATTAGTAGTTCGTTGTAATATTTAATATTTAAATATTTTTATTCTTTCTACAATTTTATCTTTAAACTATCTAACTGTTTTCTTAGGTTTTAAGTATCTAAAAAACAACTTTGTGGAGTCGGATAACTGCTAACTATAAACTATAACAGGAATATAATATGGAAATAAACTGTGCGTTAGTAAAAAAGTAGGTTTTAATTACTGCGATGTGATATATATGTGGAATCTATTTTGTATAAAACTGGAATGTAATGTGGAGGTAACTGATAGCTTCTAAGGCTTTGTCTATGAAATTAAAACAGCAGAGAAAAAATAAATATTTTTTAACATCAATAAATATTTTCGCAATATGTACATATGAGTTCAGGTTTTGAATGGGTGTTTGGATTCCATTTTGGTCTATATTTTGTACGCTTAAGTTGCACTAACGGTGAATTCTATCATAATTCTTTACACGAGAATATTTTAATGTGTACTTTTGGAGGCACTGTGATTCAACGTAGACAATTCCTACAAGTGAGCGGGAAATGTTGACAATATTTAGCGCCTCGTTGTAATATATTATATAGACATTGATATAAATAAAAAGGAGAAGGTACAGTATTACAATCGTAAAATGAACTAGGTACGTAAGCTACGCATACAAACTACGCAATACAAGCAGAAATGAGACACATTGTGACCGTGGTGGCTCTATACCACTTCCACAATAACATTTTCAGTTAATTTTATTTTAAAAATAGCTAATAAAAATAAAAAAAATAAATGGTTACACATAAAAGGTGATTTCAAATGAATTTAGTCATTTTATTTTTAGTAAAAACATTGGCACGCATTTGTAAAATGAGATGGGAAAGAAAAACATTTCCAAGATTATTTAATGAATTCTTAGTAATTTTTTTTTAAGAAATAGTAGTACGTGGCAATTTGCCATGTATGTAATTCTTGTTACGAGATAAGTTTTGATCGAAATTCTTGAAGTTTGTTTGAATAATACTATATATGCTCATTTCCACGTGATTGCCGTGTTTACTGGTTTTATTTTTACTAGAATAATTGGCACACATTTGTAAAATGAGCAAGAAAACATGTCGATGATTATTTAACAAATTTTTTAGAGAACCAACACCAGTACGTATGTGCATGTTAATAGCGCCTAACGCAACTAAATGATAGTACTCCAGTTAGACATTGTTTTCGTGGTCCACTTTTTGAATTTTAGTACCGTATCTTCTCTTTTTTGATTAAATCAATGGTTTGAGGTTATAATTTTTTTATTGTCTCACCGCATAATCTCAGGTCGATCAATAAACAACACTATGTACACGTGCTTCGCCCAATAAGGGCGATAATAACGCATATTTACAATTAAAACAACGGGAGCAAACCTTGTCAGCTATTGTTAGAATGACCGTGTGAGTTTAAGCGAGAATAACTTCACGTGCCTACCGAATAAGGTCTATTTTCGACGGAACTACAATAAACTACGTATAACGTACCCGTACTACTATTGTTAGCAAAAATCAGCCTTGTATTATTGAAAATAAAGTCTAGGTTTAGGAACAAAACACGCCAAGCTATCCTCGCGCAAACCTTTGCCGAACCTCTAAGCGATACCGCACGTATTCCTAATGAGTCCATCTAGCTAATTGTGGATATTCTGTACAAAATACCAACCTATTCAGTACTAAATATACATCGACACCGCCCTTGACTGAAATTACGGCGTAAGTCGATTTGGGGGGTCGCCCACCCCCTTGTAATTCTATAGTTTGTGACGGTTGATATTTCAACCGTTGGGTTGCAGCGTTGGCTGAATTTTGCTGTTGTCTAAATGAAATTCGGTACCCCTGTTTAGTTCGGAGTTCATATTGTCGTCCGGGAGTTTTTGGAAGGAGTTGTTGGCGGTGAGGTCTGGCCGGGATTCAAACTCGGGACGGCGCGAGGTGTCGAGGAAGTTGAATGTTGAAGTTGAGTCGTCGAGCACTGTCTCCGTAGTCGTGTCATGATCGTTGCGTGACACGTCGAACGCCTCATATAGGCGGTCTTTCTTCAGCTTGCCATTTGGTGTCTTCGACTGGAGAAAAATATGTTTGCAATTTGTTTGATTTCATTATATAAAAAACCATAAGTTTACAAATGTAAGTAGACTAACAATTAAGTGGTTTCGAAACCGTCATCCGATTAACTGTGGTGAACCATATCTAACATAGGCATTACAACTATATTAAAAAAAATTAAGCATGACAATTGCCAACTATTTCAGTTTGGCAAAAATGAACACATGTATTTTAATCATTAGCGTCAGTGATTTTTTTACATACTGATAAACAGCTTTTACATAAACTTTACTAGAGTCGAACATATTTATACCATGATCATGTAGTAAATATAAGTAAAGCAAGTAAATGATAAATGTTGTGTTAATCTTAATTTAGAACATAGCAACATACATATTTCTACCCAAAACAGTGTGAAGTTATGTTATATGTTACCTATAATCTGTAATTTTATTTAAGCTCACATTATGTTACCACAACAAAAAATAATAATTTGCAAGGTGATACCCACCAGTTAGTTGTCATTGCTGTCGGGTTAGCAAAGTTGAGTTTCAACAATATTTAGCGGTAATAGAAAGTTATAAACGTGATTGAGAATAACAATTTTTTACGCTTTTCTTTATTAGCTTTAACGCTTGCCTGCTGGCCTTTAAATGGGTAAATCTGCTTGTTGGTATGATTTCATTTAATAGGTGATTTACACTTCGACAAGTACAGTAGCGAGTTTAGTTACAGGGCAGTTGACAGTAAACAGTTAAGTGGGCAATTTTCTATTTTGAGAGTCGAACGTGAACGTTGCGTCCTGTTAACTCATATGCACTGAACTAAGCTCGCTCGTTCAAACGAGCGGTGTTTAGTTGTAGTTGGTGGGAATCGCGCGGGAGGGTAACACTTCGCACTTAATTCGTCGAAATATAGACCGGCCGGCTACCCAGTTCAACTTCATTGTTAACTTACAACTTAACTCGCTAATTGCCGTTTGAACGAGATTTTCTACTTAACTCGCCAGGTTCGCAAGTTAACTCGCTACTGTAGTTATCGAAGTTGTAACTCGGTCTTAATTAAGAATGTTGCGTGATAATGTGTGCGCGCAGTACTCACGTGTGCGTGCCGCGCGTGTCCGTTGAGCAGCGGCTCTCCACACGCGCCGTTGGCGAGCCGCGCGCCCGCGCCCGCACACAGTGCCTGCCCAAATACACTTTGCTTACAAATCATAAATAAAATCCTTCTTTGCGACAATAACGCAATTAGAACATGTTACAATTTAAACAATGCGAATCATAATTTTAACTGTTCGCATGATAACATTTTTTTATAGAATAAAGGCGACAAACAAGCACACAATCCACCTGATAGTTAGTGGATGCTGTGTCCCATAGACATCTACATTAATCCTCGATTAAGAATCAAGATCCAGACATTGCCAGTAAAATGGGTCTCCGGTTCTCTACACTCACCATACGAAACCTAGCAGTCTTAAACAGCTATTTAACACTGATCATTCGTTTATTTATTATCAAAAAAATCTTTCAAGTCATAAAAGCATTCAATTTTTAACTAATTATACAAATGTTTCTTATATAATCTTTCGCTTAATTATTGAAATTATTTACGTAATTTATTATGTTATATTTTCACACATACATTTAAGAAATTTATATTTTGTTTAACGGAGACTGGGAATGACGTCTACGACAAGTTTATTGGGGTCACGCCGGTTTCGGTGATAAACTATATCACTTACTTTATTTAACAATGTCTTATTTTGAAAAACAAATATGCCAACTTCATAAATGTATAGTGAAGAGACGACGATAAATGTATAATGATGGGGTAATATATGCAACAATATATTAGGTACAAAGTACAATGATCAATGATAAAGATATTATACTGGATGACTGTTAATACCGTCTGAAAAAAATAGATTGTAACAAGTAAACAGAGTAAAAGCCTATAGCACTGATATTTTACAAAAAATAAAAACAAAATTTTGAATTAAATAAATAAATCAATTAAAACCCATCGAAACTCAAATCATTCCTCGCCCTATTTTACTAGCAGCAATAATATCAATGAATTTGTAACGCGATACTACACATTCTAAGCAACCGACACTCGAGGCACCCGCGGTAGGGCTCTATGGTCCATGCGCAAGGGCTGCCCGCGCATACCCGCTCCCACCTGCGCCCCGCGCTCTCTTTTCATTTTTCAGCCACATTTAGCGACGGCGTTATGTCGTATTGTTTATGTTTCCGCGTGTGTATCGGCCGCCCGCTGATAGTTATCGTAAACATGTACCAATACTCTAATGCCGAATACCTGGCAATGGGTCTAACTAAAACGATTAGATACATAGAAAAAGCACAATGAGTGATTTAAAGCAGCCTATAATAGACGCATTTAATGTAATAAAAAGTGATAAAGTCACGTTTCAAATCTTAACAAACAATTTACAAAGACGTGCTAGTTTGTGTTTAGAAAGAACGGTACGGAACGGTAGATATTTTGAACAACTACTGCGATATCAATAAAAAGGTAATTTTTATTTATAAATACAATAATGTAGTATAATTTTGTAAATATAAATCAGTGTAGTTTATAAATAAGTTGATATCTCTCATTTTAATACGCAAAGATGTTTCTGTATACGACAGCATAAAAATTACTATTAGAAACTGTTTATCAATTCATTATAATACAAGACAAAATTTAACATGTAATTTTAGTCAACTACAATATATTAGACGGTTCTAAGCCCGTAAAGTATAAAGGAAAAATCTAAATCACAAAAATAATAACCTGAAACGAAAGGTAATTTACCTACTTACCATTTTCTGTTTCACGTTTTTTTGCTAGTGTTTCAAGCCATAATTAATGCCACTAGAGCCATCTAGTATCAAGTGGCATAACTAGGAGAGAACTTTGTACACCTAGTCGGTCGGGACCGGTCTGTACTCGAACATTCTAGATGTTTCAGTAGAAAAGGTCCTATATAAAGCCAGTTTAGACCACAACCAGTATTGAATTGGCTATACAAGCGAATACTTCCAAGCGATATAACTGCGAACTAAAGTGTTGTGTGATTAATTATTAGTGTATTTTAAGTTGTAATTGGTGTTCGGTAATTCTAATAAATAATAAAAGTGTCAATTTTGGTAATTCAATCGGCAGTTTCTGTTGTCCCGAACCTTAAGTTCATAACACTATTTACAAACATGCGACACGCGACGGCATTATAAATGAAAGCGTGACAATGAGAAGTGCTGCTATTTTAAATCTCATTCTTTTATCGGCCAAGTATTATACTATTAACCAGTATGTGCTGATCTTGCATTAGTAGTCAGTAACTAGTACTAGGTCTATTTTCACTGAACGTTTTAAAGTAATTGACATTACATGCGAAAAAACCACCATTAACCAACGACTTTACATGCATTCCGAGGCACGGGAGTGAGACACCGCCAACTGACTCCGAGCAGCTACCTAGAATTTCTTGACGAAAAAACTCAATAAATTGATTTTGTCGGGATTCGAGCCCAGGACCTCATGATCAGCTGTTACACTACAACAACCACTAGACCGACGAGATAGTCAAAATCAAAAATAAATATCAAAAGTGCCCAAACACTTACAAAAGAAATAAGAATGGTTTTTATGTATTTTTTTGCATATTCGGAAATTTTGCTTATCTAGTTATACTTTGTCATACTTTACAAATACTTTCGAGGATATCTTCTATTCCACTTCCACAAAACATCATATTATTTTCCAGACGGTAAAAATAGTCATTCAGTATAAGTAACTTAACATATATTAGCCCGCTCTTGTTTCACATTTTATACCAATTTAAACTTGACTTTTCTCAATTCAACTAACCATTCTTTTATAAAATCGAAGTGACAAACGTATTACCAGTCCATTTGATGGTAAGTGGCTATACTTATCATCAAGTTAAAGGCAGTTAAGTAACTTAGACTTACTTAAATGTGTTCATTTAAAAGTTAGTTATTTATTAATTTGTTGACAGCCCAATAGTGCAGTGCAACGTGTGCAAGTTAGAATACTGCAAGGAACAATTATTTGTACGGCCAATTGTTTGTATAGCCTAAACATAAATGCTACGGGCCTGGATAAAACTTTTCTACAGTACTGTTTCTAGGTGGCCTTGCACGAGCATCCCATTTACTCCTAACCGAACAACCTACACTGACCGCGTTGTGGTCATTTCTGTCCTTTTTTGCAATTTACCCATGATGGTGGTTCAGCCGAGATCCATTAAGTGCATCCTGCCTTGAGGTGCGGGCCTTCACAGTGACTACATGCGTCGGCTGTTTTAGTGTAGAGTTTTTTAGTATGGGTTTTTTAGTATATAATATATAATGTTTCATTAAACAAAAGTTCTATGTTCACCGTGGTCGTGTGCCTACAGATAAGTCCTACCCACTGAGCTGATTTCTTTTAATAGGTTCATAAACTGGAGAATTTACTTATATACCTTAGAGAATTACATTATACACCAATAATATTGAAATAAAATTCTTACTTTCATTTCTGAGCCTTCCCCATCTGTTCCCTCGTTAGCTGACTGATTCCTTCTTCGTGTTCTGTCAAATAAGAAAGTTTGTGAATTAAACTTGATTAATATATGAGACAAAAAATGAACAAAGACAAAAGCCACCGTATTACCTAAATGTCACTCAGGGCAATAAGTCTCAAAAATTTATTGATGTAATGTACTACAAGGTCGACACTGAAAGTTTTTAGAACTGACCACTTGTAAACGATATAATGAAAAATAAGTTCAAATTTGAAAATGGAACTAATAAAATACATACGCAATAATATTGCCAATATTATTGTGTATGTATTTTATTAATTTGTCATTTGTTTACGATTTGGCGTCAAATTGAAAATTGTCTGTATCACGTCAGCATGTGAATTTAACGCGAGAAAATTTGCGTACAATGATTTTTTATGACTTTCGATATCATTTAAATCATCAAGAAAGTTATGATAGACTTCGATCGGCCTTTCACGATAATCTCGTGCCACTGTTTACAACTGGTTTAATGAGTTTCAACGTAGTGGCACTAATCTCACCGATGATCTGCGTGAGGGACGTTCTTCTACGGCGACGACTGAAGATAACATCAGTGTTGTGCGGCGTATGATAGAGACTGACAAAAGACTGACTTATCAACAGATTCGGACATGCCTGAGATCGGTATGAGTCAAGTGCATAAAATCCTCCATGAACATTTAGCGGTCAGGAAGCTCTATGCCCGGTAGATACCTCATAATTTAACAGAGGCCCAAAAGCTGCGTCGTGTTGATTGGTGTCGCGAAATGGGTCAAAGATTTAACGGAGATAACTCAAATGCTATGTTCGACATACTTACGGTTAACGAAAGCTGGATTTATTGTTATGAACCTGAAACTAAGAAACAGTCAGCTGTATGGGTGTTTCCTTCCGAAGAGTTGCCAACTAAAATGAAGAGAGGTCGAAGCGTGGTAAAAAAGATCGTGACCTCGTTCTTTGGAAGAACAGGTCATTACAATAGTTTTAAGGAGTTCGAAAAACAGTTACGGCAGAGTGGTACACTAACACTTGTGTGCCACTTGTCTTGGAAAACGTTCGGGAGAAACAAGGATCCTTCTTCACCACGACAACGCCTCGTCGCACATTGTCAAGCGAACAATCGACAACTGACGACGTCAGACGTGGAGTTACTGAGTCACCCGCTCTATAGCCCCGACTTGGCACCATGCGATTTTTATTTATTTCCGAAAATAAAAGAAAAACTTCGAGCAAAACATTTTACGCCGACGGAGTAGTGGCTGCGTTTCAAAATGCTGTCGAAGAGACTCCCTAAGGACGAGTGGACAAAGTGCTTTTCTCAGTGGTTCCATCGGATGCAGCGATGTATTATGTAAATGGACACTATTTTTAAAAGATATAATAAAACCAATAACTTGCTAGTTTGTTCAGTTTTTGATTTTCTAACAACTTTCAGTGTCACCCTCGTACGCAATAGAAGAGATGCCGAGACTGGGTGGTTTACAACACGCGTTAAAGCCCATGGTCATGGCACACAGTCGCACAGATTTTGTTCGCGGCGTATGTTCTAGTATGTAGTGCCTCGTTGTTCTAGTGCTTGGCGGTGTCCCCCCCCCCCGTGCCTCAGAAAGCACGTAAAGCCGTTGACCCCGCTCCTTATCGCCCTCCAGTCGTGTCGGATTGCAGTCCCATCGGACTACGAGAGTGAGGTAATAGAGAGTGCACGTGCGCTTGCACATACACTCGGGCGTCTTGTCCTGCGCCGGTAGCCAGTCACTGTTGAAACTGACTGCCGTGATATAAATTCAGTCTGGAGGATATCAGTATTAATACCCGCTCAAGCGTCCAGCCCTCGCGACTGATTTACCCTTGTACGTCCGGATACGCTCGGCCCTAATTCGGCTGCTACCGCGCTTGCATGTTGTATAATAAAACCCACATAGCTACTTAACTATAACAGATAGAGTAGATAGAGTAGAGACAAAAACTACTAAAAATTGACAGAAGAATGCGAATTAAACCTATGTATGTTTTAAAACCCAAAAATGTTATTTAAGATATTAAAAATAGTTGTGAACATTGAATTTGGAGAAAAATAAACGTATAAATTTTATTAATTTAAACCTCAACGAAGAAATATTGTATTTTTTACCCATAAAATAAAGTCACAACAAACTAGACGTATTTTCCTTATTTATTATGCATATAATATATGTTAATGTTTAATTAGCGTTACGTAATTAAATAAATCGAAACAAAACACCTACTCCTCGTAATTTTACCGCGATGCCTCGAGCGCTTTGGACTCGCTCGCGAGGGCAAAATATAATCAAGATGGCTGCCTATTTAAGGTCTCATACACACTTTGTAATTTACGCAACTTAAAAAAAGGTAATGAGATTTTTTGGGTTTTAAAAATCTACAGTTTATTGAAATAATAAAAAAAATATTTTACAAATAATAGTATTTTATTTAAAACTACGAATTGATTTAAACTAAATATTTACAAAAAAGGACTAAATGAAGAATAATATAAATGAAGGATGCGAGAACTTTTTGTTGAAATAATCAGTCACCATTTGAATTTTGCACAGTTTTTTTGGTTTTGTAACTGTATCATTGTCGACGAAATGTATCAGTGACTTCAATAATAAAAATCTATTGTGTGACATTATTTTTCGGAAGTAAGGCATAGCGCCAAAACCATTAAAATCTAAAATTGTTGTATGTATTAATTTAAACCATTAATATCATCAAAGAAAAAAAAATAATAATGTGTTAAAGAAACATTAGAAATTACGATTATGATTTATGATTAAGAATCATTATAAATTATTAAGAAAAAAAATTGAAAACCAGGACGACCCAAGACTAAGACCGTAAAAACTAACAAAGCAAAACATCTGGCAAACATATTTTGCTGTTTGTACCGACCCTTATTTAGAACTATTGTCGTTACGTCCGTAGATATAAAACTAGCCACAACAAAAAACCTGAGTAACGCACTAACATTTTTAACAAATCTTCAATAAATATAGTTTATTTCTGTGTTTTCAAGTTCACTATTATGTTTATTACGAACTAACACTCGTTTGCTTAAATATAATTTTACTGAAAAACAAAGTAAACAAAAATAAACTTGGGCCGATCACTTGAGAGCGGCCATTGCTTTCGAAATAGCTATACTTTAAATTTAAAATAAGACTCGATTTTACACTAAGAACTGTGATATGTATACGTATTTACAAAGCATAAATCATCTAGTTTATTGTGACGTATAATATTCCTAGTAATATTAAATAAAACTAAAGTACTTACGACATAATCGTTGACACTCCACAAGCACTTGTTCACAAAACACCGAAAGTAGAGTAGACTGATGTTAAATAATTACGGTTCATTCGTTAAAGCTTGTTACACTGCCATCTCGTTTGTAATACGTAAAGAAGTTCGTCAGCTATCGATTCCAAAAAACAAAACTTACAAAAATTACCGCAAATGTCCCTAGATGTCAGTTTTATAAAACTGGACGCTAACGCTACTTCACTATCCGGGAAACAAAAGTAGCGTTGTACGCTACTTTTGTTTTGGCTAGCGTAGTAGCCATGGACGTTTGAGTGGATACCGAAGTACCGAACTACATACGTACTTGATATTGCTTCAATGCGTGTGAGCTTTTGGTTGACTTAGCGGTCAGCCGCCGTAGAGTCAACATCACCTGAAGATCATCTTCAGGTGATGTTGTGACGAAACACGTGTCGTATCATCGTCGATGGTGTGTCTTTCCTAGAATAGTGGTGTTGGGAGTAGTGGCGTTAGGAGTAGTGGTTGCTGGGATTGGTGGTGACGGAATTAGTGCACGCAATTGAGGGAGGGCTGGAAGTGCTCTTCAAACTAGGGAAGACACATCATTTTATTTTATTTAGCGGATGATTGCAAAATAACTATTAACATCTATATTGAAATGGCAATTGACATGTACGCGCCATGTGTACGTGCATGTGTGCTAAAGTGCGTGTGCGCGCGTGTGTGGATATGTGGGTAGGTGTGTGTTTGTGTTTGGGTGTGGGTAAGTGTGTGCTTATTTGTGGGTGAGTGTGTGCTTATGTGTGGATATGTGGGTGTGGGTGATAGTGTGGTTGTGGGTGATAGCGTGGTTGTGGGTGGGTGTGGATGGGTGAGTGGTTCTGTGAGGGTTATTGTGTGATTGTGTGTTGGTTTGGGTGAGTGTATGGTTGTGTGAGGGTGAGTGTATGGCTATGTGAGTATGTAGGTGTGTGGGTGAATGTGGGTGAGTGGGTGAGTGTGTGCTTGTGTGTTAGTGTGTGGTGCTTGTGGGTTAGTGTGTGGTGGGTGTGTAGGTGATTGTGTGGATGTGTGTGTCACTTTTTTTCCAAAAAAAAGTTAGCTGTAATTAACAAGACAGTTACCTGACAGGCAACCCAGCCTTCTTGTATCTCCTCCAAAAGAAAGCGACGGCGATTGACATCGCACACAACACAAACACTACCGCACCTACGCCTAAACCTGAAACAAATTAAAATTATCGTAAATCGACAGTTTTATCTTCATTTTTTATCATTATTAAAATGCTGCCTATCTCCTAGTTTCTTTGGCTCCGTCGCCTCCTATCCACGGGGAGATATGGGGTAGTGGATATTCTTACGCCTCCGTCACTCGCTCTAGGCCACGCGTTATATGCCTATCGCTCTGCGTATCGCCCACGATACAACCGACATTGGGCTGCCGCAAGCACCGACATAGCACCGCGCACGTTTCCCGCGCTTACTCGTCGAAATGCCAAAACCATGTAATTATTGTGCAGTGCGGTGGGTGTAAAAGTAAAAAAACATATAAAAATTGTCTTTTTCAGTAAAGTATGAGTTATATAAGTGATGCAAAAAACATACCTGCACTAGCTTCAATGCTTTGTTACAGAAGAATCCTAATGTTGACGAAACAACACTGTGTACTCATTTCAAAGCTTATAATAAAGATTCATCTTTTTATGGTGGGCTAAAATTCCCACCAGAACCGTTTAGTAATTATATTGAAGAATTAGAAATATCATTCTCAAATAATTTTGAAAACGTCATAATAAATCGGCCTGGCAGCACCGTGTTGCAAATTTTACAAAACATTGTTTTTCCTCTGCTTTCCTCCTGTTTTCCTTATTATTATTTATTAAAATTATTTACGCGATTTAGGAAACTTCAACGATAAAATTTCCGAGATAAAATAACCGAGAAGGAAAAAAATATAAACATTTTATAAAACTCAAACATATTTGATTGACAAATAAAAAATACTGTTAGTATGTACGTATTTCGCAACATTCGTTTTATTACAATAATCGTCATAGGTACAACCCTAGCGCATTAGTGCGATGACGTGCTTGCACGTCAACACAATCTCGACTCTCCGTGCGTGTACTTACGGTACATTTTCTTCTCGCTGCGAGCAGCAGATATATTATTAAGATTTTGTAGGCTATTATAGCGTAGGTATTTTCGCTTTTGTATGGGAGTGATGTATCTGTTGGTAAACTATTTATTATTCTGTGTCCAGGGCGAATTTCGGTCACGGCGGCAAGTCTCTGCACAGGAGAGGATTATAGCGCCCGAGTGTATGAGCAAGCACGGGTGCACTCCCTACCCTCACTCCCATTTTCCATTAGAACGGTAATTCGACACGACCGGAAAGAGATCTGGTGTGGGACCTACGAATTGACGTTCTTTCCGAAGCATGAAGATAAAACACGGACTACTTTCTAACTCCCAACTGCTATTGAGATTTTTATTAAAACCCAACAACTTATTTTCACCTGACCCGGGATTCGAACCTTATGACAGCAACCGCGTTTACGACTACTAGACCAACGATGCAGTCATAATAGTACTTATATACATACTCAAATACAAGTTGTAGTTGTCGACGGGTCGCGGCGGAATTGTGAGCACTTGGTTGGACTTCCCGAGACCTGGCAGCGTCACCATCACGTACACCGGCAGAGTAGGGTCCAGGTCATTCAGCTGCAACAAACGAACCTGTATTTCACATCATTCTAACATTAAAAATGCGAAAATAAAATCAACAAAAACGTCGCGCGATCAAAGATTTCAATGTACACTACTACCACACCCCGGTTACTCAATACCACGCTCGAAAATTAAGGTCGCTGCATACAGGACGGAATCAGCACGTGCACAGGACGGAGACAGAACGTGGTTGTATGTCAACACGGACGGGAGTTTAATGCATACGCACCGTGACAGTGACTCGAAACTAACGTGCTAGTCTTGTGAAAGATGTATTTTTCATTTGCAGAATTGGCATTAATTGCTATTGCTTTTGATGATGAAGAAGCTACAACCGTCAAGAGTAAAAGGAGATTTTCTGTACATTTTATGTGGCAGAAAAGAGGACTAGAGGGAGAATACCACACTCTCTGTAAAGAACATTTGCATGACCAGACTCAATCTTATATGTATTTTCGTATGTCAACATAAATTAAAATTTATACTAACCGTTTGCAGTGAATGATAATTCGACTGCAATTTTCCGCTACAGATGTTTTTTTTTTAATATTTTGTGTCCAAGATGCTGTGCAAGGTTATACAATCATGGATACACATTTGATTAGTTTTTCTACGTCTATTTTGTTCGGTACGATACGCGCATCACTGCGTAACCAACGGAGCGACTGTACCACAGAGCACTACTACTCCTATCGGGACTGTGTATACGCAGCGGAACCACGGAAGGGACGTGGCACGCGCCGGGCGGGACGGGGACGGGGTAAACATCGTCGACAACGAAATTTTTCGCGTCCCGTTCATGCCACGTCCCCGTCCCACTCCGTCCGGAATAAAACACGTTACTTATGCAGCGGCCTCTAATTACCTATTACTACTACATAGGCAAATGACGTTTGTACACGTGAATTTTAGTAGGGAAGTGCGGCGGCGGCGGATCGGCTTCAACGTCGGCTATCTAATAAAATTATTTTTGGTTGCTAGAAATTGTAATAAAATACGTAAATTACCCTGTATAGCATAGTAGTGGTATATACTTCAATTTTGGTGACAAAATTACTACTAATTTGAATTCTACACTTTTGTTTTTAGAGAAATTTATATGAAAATGTTTGGAAATATGTATATTTTTATGTTTTATGTGTTTCCATTCGTTACTCATACCAAAATATTAAAATATAAAAAAATTAAAAAAAAATAATAATATTTTATCTGTGTGACATTTAGAACAATATTTCTAAAATAGTTTTGTGTGAATTTGAAATAAATACAACGTCAAGTTATTTGAAATATGTAAGAAAACTATTTTTACTTACATTTTACACTAAAAATAAATGAGAATTTGAAAAATAACACATTTATGACCCAGCCGCCATAATGGGCCTTCCAGATTTTGAAGCACTTTTGGCAATTTACTTTTCACTTTTTATGCCACAAATTATATATATGTGTGTTCACTATATTACAAGGAATATAAAAAAGTATAATACTTTCGTTTTTAGTCCAGACACAAATATAAAATTCTATAAAAAAAGACGGAGCACCTTCATCAAAACGACACGTGGAACGCCGAAAGTTCAGAGTGATTTCTTTTTTTTTTTTCTAAGAAACATTGCCAGGTTATGGTTTAAAATAAAAGAGCATATCTTTGTCTTTGATACTATTATCTATTGCATAGTGTCTTTGGTTTTGTTTAAAACGAAAAAATAGTTTTTTCATAGGTACACATGTTTACATAATTCTGATCAAATTAGATCACTGCTTGGCGGACGTAAGGTAGGTATTGTACGATCAAAAGTGCGCATGGCTTGGCTTACAGGTTAAATGATCGTATCGTAACGGAAATATTAATTGTAAGTAGTTACGTATTTATGGTAGAATGATGAAGTTTTAAACAACTATAAAAAAAAATAATAAAACTATGAATAATTTATAGATACCTATGTTTTAAATTGTAAAATCGTGAGTTCGCGTCAGGTTTGTGCCATCGCGCACGCCCTTGTTCAAGTGTTAGTGTTGTCTACAACGAAATGCGGGATGGGACACGGTATTTAAATTAGTGCGGGGCGGGGAGGTGAGTGGCCGTTCTTTACGTAGTACTATTATTTATTCTACGCTACGACGGACAGTACGGTACTAATACATTGCGCACCAAGTTACGTTCAATACTAAGTTACGAGTTAATCTCCGTATCTAATTTAGTTGACTCGAGCGAGCGAGAAGACTAGTTCTTAACTTTGTATATCGCGACGTTGTTTCGAGAATAAATTCGTATATACGAGGTAGAAACGCTTCAACTATATTATAGTTATAGCACGAATGGGTTTGCTCGACCGGAGAAGGACCACACACTCACAGAATACCAGCGTAAAATAACAGCTTAACACAGTACGTACCTGCACATTGGGCTATGTGACGTCGACGCCGCGCCAGTACTCGAGCGGGCGCGTGATGTTCTGTGCGCCGAGTGTACACACAGTATGTACCTGCACGCTGGGCTGCGTGACGTCGACACTGCGCCAGTGCTCGAACGGCCGCGGGACTTCTGTGCCCCGAGTGCAGGTAGCACTCTGGGCTGCGTGACGCGTATACTGTGCCAGTGCTCGAGCGGGCGCGGGACTTCTGTGCCCCGAGTGTACACACAGTATGTACCCGCACGCTGGGCTGCGTGACGTTAAGACTGCGCCAGTGCTCGAGCGGGCGCGTGATGTTCTGTGCGCCGAGTGTATACACAGTATGTACCTGCACGCTGGGATACGTGACGTCGACGCCGCGCCAGTGCTCGAGCGGGCGCGTGATGTTCTGTGCGCTGAGTGTACACACATTATGTACCTGCACGCTGGGCTGCGTGACGTCAAAACTGCGCCAGTGCTCGAGCGGGCGCGTGATGTTCTGTGCGCCGAGTGTACACACAGTATGTACCTGCACGCTAGGCTGCGTGACGTCGACACTGCGCCAGTGCTCGAGCGGGCGCGGGACTTCTGTGCGCCGAGTGTACACACAGTATGTACCTGCACGCTAGGCTGCGTGACATCGACACTGCGCCAGTGCTCGAGCGGGCGCGGGACTTCTGTGCGCCGAGTGTACACACAGTATGTACCTGCACGCTGGACTGCGTGACGTCAACACTGCGCCAGTGCTCGAGCGGGCGCGGGACTTCTGTGCCCCGAGTGTACACACAGTATGTACCTGCACGCTGGGATACATGACGTCGACACTGCGCCAGTGCTCGAGCGGGCGCGTGATGTTCTGTGCGCCGAGTGTACACACAGTATGTACCTGCACGCTGGGATACATGACGTCGACACTGCGCCAGTGCTCGAGCGGGCGCGTGATGTTCTGTGCGCCGAGTGTACACACAGTATGTACCTGCACGCTGGGATACATGACGTCGACACTGCGCCAGTGCTCGAGCGGGCGCGTGATGTTCTGTGCGCCGAGTGTACACACAGTATGTACCTGCACGCTGGGATACATGACGTCGACACTGCGCCAGTGCTCGAGCGGGCGCGTGATGTTCTGTGCGCCGAGTGTACACACAGTATGTACCTGCACGCTGGGATACGTGACGTCGACACTGCGCCAGTGCTCGAGCGGGCGCGTGATGTTCTGTGCGCCGAGTGTACACACAGTATGTACCTGCATGCTGGGATACATGACGTCGACACTGCGCCAGTGCTCGAGCGGGCGCGTGATGTTCTGTGCGCCGAGTGTACACACAGTATGTACCTGCACGCTGGGATGCATGACGTCGACACTGCGCCAATGCTCGAGCGGGCGCGGGATTTCTGTACGCCGAGTGTACACACAGTATGTACCTGCACGCTGGGCTGCGTGACGTTAACACTGCGCCAGTGCTCGAGCGGGCGCGTGATGTTCTGTGCGCCGAGTGTACACACAGTATGTACCTGCACGCTGGGATGCATGACGTCGACACTGCGCCAATGCTCGAGCGGGCGCGGGATTTCTGTACGCCGAGTGTACACACAGTATGTACCTGCACGCTGGGCTGCGTGACGTTAACACTGCGCCAGTGCTCGAGCGGGCGCGTGATGTTCTGCGCGAAGCGCACCGCCCGTCGGCCAGCACCGCGCCACCACACCCGCACGCCTCCTTGAGTGTACGCATATCGCAACTCCTGCGCATCTGTGTAATGCATTCAATTACAAGTTAAAAGAAATATAAGCAAACAATACTTTATTTGGAGGATTAGTCATAAACTTTATAAATTTATGTTTCAAAATTAATCATCAATTTTAACAACTCCTCTACGCGACACAATAGTCAGTTAAATGAAATATCTTAATATATATAAATTACGTGTCACATTGTTTGTCCGCGATGGACTCCTAAACTACTTAATCGATTTTAATCAAATTTGCACACCGTGTGCAGTTTGGCTCAACTTGAGAGATAGGATAGCTTTACTGCCCATGAGTGACCCACAATTTGTTTTTTGCGAATTTAAGGATTTTTAATGGGACATGACAAAGGGTCGTCGAAAAGTTACGTAGGTCACTCAACAAGTTTTGAGATGCTTGAAATTTAAAAATGAACGCACCCGTGTTATATGTTTCTAAAAAGCAAATTTATTTAAAAATAGAACTCAATATTGAAAAAAAAAACAAAGTTCTATTTATTGTCCTGCAACGCTTCCCGCGCTTTTCATTGAAAACGATGGACCTTAACTGTGAACATTTGCGCGCTATGATCTTTTATGATTTTAAATTTGGTTTAACCAAACAATTAAGTTTACAACATTTACAATCAGCATTAAGAGACTCAGCTCCATCACGCGCAACAGTTTTTAGGTGTTTTGCTGAATTCAAAAGGGGTAAAATTAACGTTAAAGATGACTAAAGAACCGGGGCCCCGCAAACAGCAATAACGGCAGAAAATGTATAAATTACTGCAATTGCAAGGTCATTCGTGAGAAATCGTAACGCTTGGGAGAAATAGGTAGATAATGTAAACAAAAAATAAACCTGAAATACGATTTCTAACAGAAATGTGATCTATTCTATTTAGTTAAAAATCTTGTTAGTACACAAAGTTTTAATTTCAGTATTTTGTGTTATTATAACTCAAAATATTTTAATTACAAAAGACAAGTATAGGAATGTATGTAAATACTTGGATAGTGAAGTAAATTTTAACTATTTGTTGTAATGAAGTACTTAGGTATTTCTTCTCTGTAGACCAAATTATTACTTCTTTTTTGCTGTGAGTACCTATCTAACAAAAAAATTAAATAAATTTTTTAACCTTTCATAACTTCCTTCTAAAACTCTTCGGTAACTTAAAGAATAATATGAAGCCTTTTGTTGGTCATTTCATTTAGTATCCATCTAAGCAACAGTTATAGTAGGAACGACGTTTTGCTATTATAATTTATCAAATAGGTAATATACATAATACCTATATAATTTTTAAAATACATTAAAACTTTTACAACTATTTTTACCTACAATTAAATATACTAAACACTAAACAAAAACTATTTCAACAACTATTTACATAAAACTATTTACGTAAACAGCGGCAAAAAACTTTAACATTCGATCGCCACCAACGCGCCAGCCCTGACTGCGTTATTTCGCCCGGGCGCGTCGCGATTTTAGGTAATTATTTCACGCAGCTAGCAAGAGTGATAGAGGCCTGACGAGACATCGATCCATCAATATGATCCGGAAAATAAAAGGCAATCATCGGTATGGGTCTGCTCAGGATCATGCTGCATCACGATAACGCCTCTCACATACCTTCCTTAGAACAAAATCATTTATTGAGGAATCTGGTGTTGAAACTCTAAGTCACCCACCCTACAGCCTTGACTTAGCTCCTTTTGATTTATTTTTGTTCCCAAGAGTCAAAGAAAAAATAAAAGGCTTGTTTTTTTCAAGTGCCGAAGAAGCCGTGGCTGCCTACGACGAAGCGATTTCTGACCTGTCTGTCCTGAGAAAATTATCATGATCACCGATATAATCTAACAGAAGAGCAGATTGAGGATTACAGAGAAACACATCGAATTAGTTAAAGATCATAGAGAAAGAGAGAAACAAAGACCCAAATTGATGACAGACGAAATCAAACTACAGAGAGAATAAGTAATATTCGATAACACGAACATTTGGTGGCTCATGTATTGGACACAATTGTACGTGCGGTTCATGAAAAACATCAAGAAAATTACAGTCTTCACCACGAAGCGTTTCATTATAACTCCACTGGGAATTATAAATAACATCCAAGTATAGTGATTGGGAGAATAGATCAAATATGTAAATTTCGTAAAGCAAACGAATTCAAAGGAGAAACACCCAGTATTTGTTGCCTAAGCGGTAAAATTAAATTACCTGAATTAAGTTCACCACCACCGAAAATTTTGGAATCACTGAAAGGAGAAACACAAAATGAAAAACGCGTCAGGTTGAAATTCCTCCGGGAGTAGCTGTGGCTCAGTAAGAACAAATGTTAAATTATTTCGCTCGAAATCCAACATCAAGTCTCCGTAGACCAGCTCACCAATTCCACACGATTCAACACTGACACAAACACAACACAAAATATTAAGAAAAAACAACGGGTCGTTCAATTACACAAAAGTACATGCTTTATTAGATAGAGATAAGCCATTCAGGTAAACCTACTGCCAATGGCTCCGGAGCAGAGTAGCTAAGTACTCTTGACTTTTTAGCAAACATAATGTGGAATGACGAGAGCACATTCACGCGCAACGGAATATGGAATCGGCAGAACTTACTGTACTGGAGTCAAGAAAATCCGCAACTGTGTCGAGAGTCTGTGCACCAATATAGATTTCCCGTTAATGTTTGGGCGGGAATACATGGAGAACAAAAAATTGAACCCATGTTTATTGAAGGCAACTTTAATGGGCTTAAGTTTTTAGAACTGCTTGGCGGCCCAGTGATGGATTACGTTAATGGATTATCGTTGGGGGTAAATAGCCGGTTATGGTATCATCTTGACGGAGCACCTGCCCATTCAGTGGTGGCTGCCAGGCAGTGCCTCACTGAAATGTTCGGAGAACAGTGGATTGGCCGATACGGACCTTGTCGGTGGCCAGCACGGTCTCCGGATCTAACACCGATAGATTTTTTCTTATCGGGTTATTTAAAAAATGAGATGTTGTCTACTGAAGTATCTCGACTATCGAGGACATAAAAATAAGAATTATTCTTACTTTCGACAAAATAAAAATTTTTGCATTTTGAAAGGTCCGAAATAATGTCATGCGACGATGTTAATTATGCATTTGGGTACACGGCAGACATTTTGAAAATCTAAAAATTTGATTTGATTTATTTATTAAACTATAGTGATTATAAGATTAGAGCGATTATTTGGATTACAACAATACCATAAAGTTTGTGATTTGTTGAAAACATCGCATTAGCATCGTCCTACGTGTGCCTAATTGAGTATGTATGTATGGGCAAGTGTAGGTATTGTAATCAACTTTGTCAATGCCGCCGCGTCGCCGCGCCGTTGCCACTTTTACAGATCACTTCAGGTCTTAACTAATATTATCCAGGATGATTTATTTCGTGTAATTTTTTACGCTATTTATTTTGTTTGAAAGATGCACTTTTATCTTTTTGTATTATAGTTTATTTTATTATTTCAACAGACGTAAATCAACTTGCATTAACTGCTGTGCTATAAAACGTGATAACATAATCGCTACGCAGTATATGGAGGTCCCATTCAAGCTTCGCATTTAGTCATTAATATAGACAAGAGACAGAAAGAGTCCGAAATTGAGAGTTGGGTCACAAATGGGTGTGCCACAGGGCACACCCATTTGTGACCCAATTTGCCCTGTATCACACCCATTTGTGCTATCGAGCCGGAAGAACTAATTACCTTTGATAACAACTTCTTGCGTTCTGTTATATGAAATAATAAAAAGAGCCTTACTTCTTCGCTACGTTTACGTTTTTACACTGTGTTTTTCAATTGAAAGTTTGAATTGGGAAATTGGACCTTAATAGTTTCACTATTTATTATACTCCATGTCACTTTAATTTAATTAGAAGCAGTCTTTATTTTGTTGCTCAAATGGAAAAACTTGGGTGTGAAGCACACTCTTATAAATATCATAAAATATTTTTTTTACAAATTCATTTAATTCTACATTAGGATTACATGCCTCTAAATGGTAACAGAAAAGATAGGTATAAAGATAATTAATAATAATGTAAAGCAAGCTATAATCAATGATTATAAGTAAAGATAATTATATTTATGTTAAATTTTTTTCCAAAAGAACATTTCACATAAATATATGTTTTAAAACATTAAAATATTTACAGTAGGCAGGTAAACATAACAACTTACCTAAATCTTTAACTTGCGCCGGAATCGTGAGAATTCGACTGTGTCCAAGTGGTTCATAACCGGTCACCATCACGTAAGTTTGCTCGGTTGGCTCAATTCCAGTTATCTACAATCGTGAAAAGACATATTATAAATATAATTAAATTAATAAGTAATCAAAGTTTGTGTGTGCGTAAGAGCGCTTGCGTAAGTATATCGCCTGGGTAAATATGTGTGGACGTGCCTAACCAGTACGGAGGCGTCGGTGGTAGAGATCGCGAGCCACTACTCGATACGTAAGAGCAGTGTGTACGTGCGTGTAACGTGCGTGTAACCTGCGCATGCGTGTACGTACGTGTGTGAGTAATTGCGTTTGCACGTGTGTGTACACTCACCAACACAGAGGTGTCAGTAGTGACTAGCGGAGGCCACTGCTCGAAGGGCAGGAGCAAGGTGTGTGCGTGTGTACGTACGAGTGTGCGTGTGAGTGTGTAAGGGCGTTTGCACGTTCATGTGTACACTCGCCAACACAGAAATGTCGGTGGTGGCGAGCGCGGGCCACTGTTCGACAGACAGGAGCAATGTATACGTGCGTATGTGTCCGTGTGTACACTCACCAACACAGAGGTGTCGGTGGTGGCGAGCGCGGGCCACTGCTCGACGGTCAGGAACAATGTGTACGTGTGTATCTGAGCGTGTGTACACTCACCAACACAGAGGTGTCGGTGGTGGCGAGCACGGGCCACTGCTCGACGGGCAGGAGCAGTGTGTACGTGTGTACGTGCGTACGTTCGCGTGTGTACACTTACCAACACAGAGGTGTCGGTTGTGGCGAGCGCGGGCCACTGCTCGACGGGCAGGCGCAGGCGCGCGCTGTGCCGCACGGTGTACCGCGCCGCCTGCCCGCTCCAGCGCACGCGCACCGCCGACGAGTTCACAAACGTGTACGACAAATCACCTACACGCCACTGGCCTGTTGAGTTCAAATCATTACCTCTAGACTAGAATTTTTTTATTGAATAAGGATGACAAACGAGCACAAAGTCCACCTGATGGTAAATAGATGCTGAATGCACATCTACATCTATCCTCGATTAAAAATCAAAATGCAGATACGTTGTCATCTCTGAGGACTAAGATGAAAAGCTTCGTTTGCAGTAAAGACGGTCCCGGGTTCTCTACACTCACCGTACGAAACAAAGCGGCATACCCCAGTAGAGCCGACCCCTTCGTGCTACAACCATAATATAGCCACAGCGCCACCACTTTTATATACGTAATTTCCTATCAACCATTCACACCACCATTTCACCGCCCTCACCAACTCAAACTTACCTTCAGGTTGCGTAGTTACGCGGATTGGGTCGCTAAAAGCCCCGCCAAGAAATCGGCCTTGCACAAGCGCTTGTACCCGCACTTCATATTCGCTGCCCGGCTCCAAGCCCTCCAATGTGGCGCTGCTCTTGTAGCTGCAGGAAGAAAACAGAAATAGGTAACTTAAATAAAAACTGGCCAAGTGCAAGTCGGACTCGCGCATGAAGAGTTCCATACCATAGTATAAGATTTAATACACGTCTCCGGTATGGGCCCCCCTTTAATTTTTAAATATTATTTTATTTTATTATAATTTTCTTAGCGAATGTAGATAAAAAATAAACAATATAAACTTTGTCAGCATCTCAAGCATCTACTTGTTGCCATTGATAAGATCGCCAAAAAAAAACAAGTTTCTAGTAGGGTAGTCCCCTTTAATTTTTAAGTTATTTTTATTTTTATTTTTCGCCACAGGAATAAACATTCTGTAAAAATTTCAATTGTCTATGTAATACGGATTACGAGATACAGTCCGCTGACAGACGGCCGGAAGGACGGACGAACAGCGGAGGCTTAGTAATAGGGTCCCGTTCGTTACCCTTCGGGTACGAAACCCTGAAAAGTAGCTCAGTAAATTTTAATTAAACTATAAAATCACGACTTTTGAATAAAATTTCCTTACAAACAACTTAATGGTAGTCAAAAATCGAAATCTACTTTAGATGAAAGTAACGTTAAGTAAAATCTACATTATAGTTAGGGCTTGCAAATATTCGAAATTTTTTGGTATTCGAATATTCGACTTTTTTCGGGTATTATTCGCATTATTCGATTTTATATATAATTAAAGAAAAAACAAAAGCTGTTATAATAATCATATTTTATTGCTATTCTCTTACTTAGAGTCTAATTTCTCTGAATCAAAACAAAATTATAGTTAAGAATTAAAGAACTGCTTGGAATTTCACTGTTATGGCACTAATGCAGTCCTATAAAAAGTTGGTGCTTAACAAGACAACCACAGCACAATTACACAACAGTCTTATAAATTGAGTTCTGAGTGTTGTCATAATATTTATATAATTAAATCATTACAAACTTATATATTACTTACTTACAAAACTTAAAAGATTTAAAAGAAAAATTTTCAACTGTCATAGGATACATATAATTAATCAGTATTAGAATTTATGAGATCAGAATCAGATCAATCCCACATTGTATAAAAGTAAAGATACGTTTTAATCTTATCATTTAACTTTGGCTTATTCTTACATCTACACGTACAACCGTACCTTCAAGGCAAAAGTGAATAGGTATCTTCTAGACAAGCGCGTTTCAACTTAGACCTCATCACTGCTTTCTTCCAAGTATTATTGTCGTCAAGTGCAAGCATATTCTACAATAAAAAAATCTTTAACGTTCTCCTTGTAAGTGGGACCTAAGGAAACTTAGCGCATCTAGGGAATCATCTTTTAAAGAACACCTTAAATGGTTGCAAATGTATTTTGTTGATGAAAACACCATTTCACACTCTACACTTGTAGGTGGTATACACATGAGAAAGTCATACGCTTGGCTCAAATGAACTTGTCTAGGACCTCCTCTGTCAAATAACGCCTTCTGCATTCGCACCGACGTTTCTAACTCTTCTCTATCTGATAAATTTGCTATCAAAAGGAGTTGTATCAAAGGAGTTGCGGAATTAGTGTCATACATCGCTTTTTGTAACTCTTCTATAAAACTTATTACAAATGTTACCTGGTGTGACTCGTTTTGTTGCTGATGCTGGCGTTGCTGCTGTTGAAGTTGAACTAAGGTTATGTCATCTTCGTCATTATCAGAGTTGTGTGTTTTAGAAAAATATCTGTCGTTAATTTCAGTTATTACTTCTGTATTAATGTTATTGCCTGGTAATGGAAAGATAGACGAAGGTGGCTCTGCGTAATATTAACTGGGACTGTGGAGATATTTTGATGTGCAGATTAAATTTGGTAGGCGTCTCTGAGCAATTCTATTCTTCAGAGCTTCAAGTAGCATGTCACTGATAAATCAGTTCACCTTTTAAATTTTTGCTACCATAAATTGAAGGGCTGTTTCCGCAGTAAGTAGATTTGCATTTTCTTGGCACAGCGCCTCTACTATTGTCTTTACAATATTCAAAGAAGTGGACAATTCCTGCAGCAAAGCTATCTCACCTAAACTAAACGTGGTATCTTTAAAATAGTGTCTTTTAATGCCAAAAATCTTGTGATAATATCGGCTAAACTGCTCCACCTGGTTTTACAGTCTAAGATCAAACCCATTTTATTCTGCTCTTCTTGAAGATAAATATCGGGAATCTCTTTTCTGGTGGGTGACTTCCTAAAACATTTAACTATTTTTCGCACTATCTCTATTACATTTTTAAATTCACATCCCCGTATAAATGTAGGTCTCGGCCTCTGTTCAGATGTTGCTCAACTACAAATTCTCCTCGCTCACTATCACTGTTAGAGTCAGTATCCTCATTTGTTTCCTCTTTGCTACCTTCAGATTCTTCCTCTTCTTCTTCTTGCTCATCTTGATTCTTTTTGTATATAGCATCCAGCACTGCACATTGGATACCATGTGCGAAACATAATTGATGATACAAAGGCACTCGTCGACTCATAGCACACATCACTCTTTGAGTACTCGTAGACAAGTAGGCCGTTGGCATACAAAACTCACTCAAAAAGACTAAAACTTCGATCATAAACAACAAAATTATAACCACGCTCCGCCGTTCACACTGAACGCACACAAAATGCACATGGCAGACAAATGCACGAGCAAAGGCACTAAACTACCAACACCACCGCACTGGGACACCGGCGCGGCGCGCCCTATAATCGAAATATCGCGCGCGAATCTTAAAAGTAATATTTTGTACACATCAATATTCCGAGTTTCGCTTTCAGAAAATGGGTTCAATATCCGAATATAGCGGATTTAATATTCGAATATTTGGACAAGCTATATTATTCGAATTATTCGAATATTCGAATGCAAGGCCTAATTATAGTCAGTTCAGGCAGTTTCCATATTTATAGACGCAGCGACAGACTATGATAGTATTCCTTAAATATAATTATTGTCAATATGCTACCAATACAGCCCATCACATGAAAAATCCACATAGAATCAAATATTAATAAAATTTACGTACTCGTTTTCTACTCAGAGTTGTCAAAAAAACATTTCGGATACTATACATGGTTATTTTTCACATAGTATTCTAATTTTAAATATAAATAATGATATACCGTCAACGAAGTTGTTGAAAATACTAATAAATAAAGTTACTACGTTTATTTGAAATTATCCCAAATTGAATATGATTTATCTGTGTGTGCGGTTCAAATCAAAAAGTTTTTGCCTGCTGTTTACTTTCTTAGTGACATGCCCACTATTTAAATTAATAACTACACGACACGGTATTATGGTTCCAATTTCTCAATCAATTTCTTCACACTTATAACGGGCTTAGGATCGTCGTATTTTTTCTTACGAACGACGTAACCGATGAGTGTCATTATTATGGCGTTATAAAAACATTGGAATAAACTATTTACAACTAAATTACACAAGTAGAACCAATAACTAGCACTTTTAACTTCCTTTAATGCAGTAATAATTCTTCTGCGGCGTCCTTCATAACTGAACTTCCTTGACAGAAATACGACTCTTTACTTTGCCCATGCGCAATCCACCTATCATCATACTGACTTTTTAAATTATCGCTCACTGCACTAGAATAGTTTGATTAGCTACCAATTGTTTTTCGATTGCTTCACGTACAATAGAGCCATGGTAGCTCAGTGGTAGAGCCGTGGTAGCTCAGTGGTTAACGGTCGCTGTAAATATAACAGAACGCGAGTAACCCGGGTTCGATCCCCGCCGGCACCAATAAAATTGTTAATTGCAATTTTAAGTGCTGATTTACCACGTGCTCGGCGGTGAAGGAAAACATCGTGAGGAAACCTGCATGTTTGAGGAATAAGAAAAAAAATATTTCGAAGACATGTGAAGTTCGTCAACACGCATTTGGGCAGCGCGGCGGACACTTCCTTGCCCTAAACCCTCTCAGAAATGAGGGGAGGCCTGAGCCCAGCAGTGGGACGTAAATAGGCTGTAACTTTACTTTACTTTACTTTTACTTTTCACGTACAATCATTTCTTGGTGCAATAAAGACTCATTTTCGTATAGTCTTCGTGCACCACGTAAACTTTCATTGCTTAAAATTTAACACCGCACCATTTCGTAGTATTCGCAGTTCGAATATTTTCTTTCCGTCATCGGTAATGAACTGTCACTAACGTAATGAGGTCACGGTCATTACTGTCAGCTGTCGGCGGGCCGGGTGGACGTAGCCACCTAGCGGTGTAACGGTTTTCGGAAGGGAAAGGCACGGGAAAACTCCCAAAGTACCTAAGTTTTTAAAGGCGGTGGTCTCCTATAAACGCCATCGGCCGCTTACAGCGTCACGCCGTACGCCGCGTTACGATGCTTACTATAGAAATGTACGGTTGTGGTCTCTTTCACAAGCTGATGTCGGCGTATGGACGTCGTAGGCGGGTTATGTCGAACCATTGCAGCGTGAAGGTCGTGTCTAGCGTCAGTACAAGATGACAAAATTTAATAAAGAAAAAGACGAGTTATTGATTTATTATTATGTTTAAATTGTTCCTGATTAATACGAAAATGTTTAGTAAATTTAGAATTTTTGTCTTTTAAGTGTTTCATTATCAATAGCTGGAAACATCCTTCTTCATTTCTCTTCATAAATAATTGGTGCCTTTATTTTTCTTCGTATACGGTCGTCTTGTGCCTCTTCAAGTAAAACAAGCACCGCCAAAAGTATTGAATTTATATCCATTTTGTGTACAAATATCACACACAACCACACGTGAGCACTGTCTGCTACTTAACTGTTGTTTGATCGAAAGTCTAGACGTCGTCCGTTGCTAAGATACGTGGGCGGCACTGAAAATTTCGGGAATCATGGAAGTGACATAACATTACTATTTAAAAATGTATTTATTACTTTTCGAATTATTCTCCGCGAAATTTGATACATTTTTCCATACGATGGAACCAATCATTAAAGCAACCATTCCATTCGGAAGTTGGGGTCTCCAAAATGGCCGTTTGTAGGCGTCCACAGCTTCTTCAGGTGATGAAACTCTCTGTCCACGCAATTTATTCTTAATTTTAGGGAAAGTATAGAAATCATTAGGGCTTTGGTCAGGGCTGTACGGCGGATGGTCTAATAATTCTATGTTTTCTTGCTCTAAAAACTCTTTTGTTCTGTGTGTGGTGTGAGAACTCGCATTATTGTGATGGAGGATGATGCGGCGGTTGCAGTTCTCTTTACGGAGTTCAGAAACGACCTGTGGCAAACAAATGCTAGCATACCATTTTGCATTAACCGTTCTTTGTCCCTCAAGAGGAATAGTTGTAACATGGCCGGTTTTGGAGACAAACGTGGCCACCATTTTTTTTGCAACACTCCGTGAACGAACAATTTTTGTTGGCTTTAACTCATTTTCAAACACCCAAACTCGTGATTGGTTTTTTGTTTTGGGTTCGTACGCGTATATCTATAATTCGTCACCTGATACGATGATGTATACAGCATTTGAGGATCCTGCGTGGAATCTTTCGAAAGTTCTGACGCACCAAGTAACGCGAGCCGCTTTTTGCTCTTCACAGAGCGAATGCGGTATCCATCGGGAAAACAACTTTTTTACACCTAATTGTTCATGCAAGATTATTTGTATTTGACTCATGCCAATGTCTAAAGTTGCCTTAATTTCGCGGTATGTCACATGTCGATCTTCCTCAATCAGCTTACGCACAGCATCAACGTTTTCTTAGGTGACTGCAGTTTTTGGACGACCTTGACGGGGATCATCACTGAGCTTGACAAGTCCACGTTGAAATTCAGCAAACCAGCGATAAATTGTGGTTTTGGATGGGGCTTCATCACCAAATGCAGAAATCATCCGGTCAACACACTGTTTTTGTGTTAAACCACTTCGAAAGTCATAATAAATCTTCGCTCTTGAATTTTCTCGACTCAATTCCATTTTCTCAACGACTAAACAAGTTTGACAAAACCTTGTGACAAGACCGAGAATCTTTTTTTAAATAAATAAATGGTATTCGATTTTTAAAACCAAGGAGTTTTCAATTGAAAAGATTTTAATATGACAGGAACAGTGGAAATATTCCATTCCCGATACTTTTAGTGCAGCCTAGTATGTATTGACCGCTAAGGCGGTGGTCTCCTATAAACGCCGTCGGCCGCTTACAGCGTCACGCCGTACGCCGCGTTACGATGCTTACTATAGAAATGTACTGTTGTGGTCTCTTTTACACGCTGACGTCGGCGTATGGACGTCGTAGGCGGCGTAAGACGCTTTGCGCTGCGTCTCTAGTTATTTTGAACCATTGCAGCGTGAACGTCGTGTCTAGCGTCAGTACAAAATGGCCAAATTTAATAAAGGAAAACTTTTTCTTCAACCGATATGGGCTTAGGATGCCTTTTTGATGGCACTTTTATTACATACTCCTGCATAAGCTCTACAATATGTTTAAATTGTTCTTGATTAATACGAAAATATTCAGTTAATTTAGAATCGCTGTCTTTTAAGTGTTTCATTATCAATAGCTGGAAACATCCTTCATCATTTCTCTTCATAAATAATTAGTGCCTTGTTGCCTTTATTTTTCTTCGTATACGGTCGTCTTGTGCCTCTTCTTCAATTAACACAAGCGCCGCCAAAAGTGTTGAATTTATATCCATTTTATGAACAAATATCACACACAACCACACTTACTGTTGTTTGATCGAAAGTCTAGACGTCGTCCGTTGCTAATATGTATTGACCGCTGACGCTGTGCCTGGCGTTCAGACGCCGATCGGAACGTTTACGCTGAAGTCGGACGTCGCGTATAGCATTTAATAGGAGACCGTAGCCTAACGCTGTACCTGGCGTTCAGACGCCGATCGGAACGTTTACGCTGAAGTCGGACGTCGCATATAGCATTTAATAGGAGACCGTAGCCTAACCGAGCGACACTAACAAATGTGTAAGTGCGTAGTAAAATAATGAATTACTAAGCATTCTGAATTTAAAGCATAAAAGGGACAGAATGTTTGAGGTTTTATTATTGTTATTTTATTCACCATTTGCCTATATTACTTATTCTGAACCTTCCCTGCAAATTTTGGCATACATTGCAAAATAGCCCTGTATAATATTAACAATGATTAATGGTTGTTATAATTGACAAAAAATTATCTCTTATAGTTAATACAATAAAAAGAGACGTACTTCGCGCTGGCATCATTTGCCAAGCTTTTTTACCTTGTCAATTTGACGCAAATGGACCAATATTGTTTTGATAGTAACGCTTTCACAATCGCCTCAACGAAGAACGCAATCAAAATAGTAATAATAAAGTTAAACTTATTCGGAGTCGGAACACATATACAAGATTACATCGCTCACCTTTCTTGACACTCTTCTGTTCCTTCCACTTTCTTTACGCACACCCTGAAACTGTACATCTCAGGTGAGGAGTCGGCCTCGTCGCATCGCCACTTCACAGTGAAGCCGTGAACGCCGACATCAGACACATTGACATCCTGCGGTACTGCCGTCACGTCCCTACAACAAAATAACTCTTATATAAAAACAATGATTAAATAGTTTAGAATAGAATAGAATAATTTTGTATTCAATATAGATTACAAGTAATTGTTATTGAAAATCATTTTTTACTTTTACCACTGGTTCGGAACAATACCTTTGTCCTGGGAAGAACCAGCAAGAAACCCAGCGGGACTTTCTTTTAAAAGTATATTATACAATAAGAAGGGTTGTGCAAACTACTTACAAAACTTATTTAACGAACAGCTTGGAAGCGGCCACCTCACTCCTATGGGTTTATTATCAACCATGTATTCATTTGTATTAAAATAACCCTTTTTATACACTTTTTAATAAAATTTAAAGAGTATCTATTTTAAAAGTTTTACGTGTTCTTAGAAGATAACAGTAAACATTTTTTTTATCATTTTCCATTATTATACTACATATTGTGAATGTCGTAGGATGCCTGGACAAGGCTAGTAAGAAGTAACGGCCACCAACAGATGGCGTTGTACCATTTCGTATATACCAAGGTTTTTGGTGGTAGGTCTGTTTTTCTGCAAAGGTATAGTTCATTTCAAATAGGATGGCAGGATTGAGGACCTTGAAACTTAGCAATTACAGCTGTAATGTTAATCTATTGTTGTGTGATTATTTTATTGCTTTAACACTTGAAGTTAAGCATCTGTTGATAATACTGAACCAGTATAGCTGGAATGACGAATTTTGGTACTTGAACATTAAAACAAATTAAATTGTAGATAAAATACCTTTATTACTTTTAACTTAACTATTTTAAATACTTATAACAACTTGTTAATATTTTTGTTTATTCAATCACTCTGAAGAACATTCATCGCTATCTGTGTCCTCACACGTATTTATTATAAATAGTTGTATCCGATCCCTCGAAAATTCGTTTTCCACTCTTATGACATGGTCAAGTCATGGACAAGTCTCAAGTGGAATCCTGCCATCCTATTTGAAATGAACTATATCCGTCAGGTTAGGTGGTCTGTGTTTGCGCTCCTGTATCCTGGTCTGCAGGGTACAGAGAGCCAGTACGATTATAGGCTGCGAGGCAATCCGTCTTAGTCCTCAGAGGTGACGACGCATCGACACCGACGCAGACGACGACGACGAGTGAGTGTGGTCTGCGTACGCACCAGGACCGCGCGCGCGGCACTCCAGGGCAGCAGCGACAGCTCCTGCGCCGACCAGCGCCCGCGCGGTTTACCAGTTGTTTGGTTCAGTAAAAAGTGTGTGAGGGAGTGAGTGTGGACTGCGTACGCGCCGGGGCTGCGCGCGCGCGTGGCACTCCAGGGCAGCAGCGACAGCTCCTGCGCCGACCAGCGCCCGCGCGGTTTATCAGTTGTTTGGTTCAGTAAGGAGTGTGTGAGGGAGTGAGTGTGGGCTGCGTACGCACCGGGGCTGCGCGCGCGCGGTTTACCAGTTGTTTGGGTCAGTAAGGAATGTGTGAGGAAGAGTGTGGGCTGCGTACGCACCGGGGCTGCGCGCGCGGGGTTATCAGTTGTTTGGTTCAGTAAGGAGTGTGTGAGGAAAAGAGTGTGGGCTGCGTACGCACCGGCGCTGTGCACTCGCGGCGCTCCAGGGCAGCAGCGACAGCTCCTGCGCCGGCCAGCGCACCGCGCAGCTGCCCAGTTGTTTGGTTCAGTAAGGAGTGTGTGAGAGTGGGTGTGGGCTGCGTACGCACCGGGGCTGCGCGCGCGCGCTGCACTCCAGGGCAGCAGCGACAGCTCCTGCGCCGACCAGCGCCCGCACGGTCTACCAGTTGTTTGGTTCAGTAAGGAGTGTGTGAGAGAGTGAGTGCGGGCTGCGTACGCATCGGGGCTGCGCGCGCGCGCGGCTCTCCAGGGCAGCAGCGACAGCTCCTGCGCCGACCAGCGCCCGCACGGTTTACCAGTTGTTTGGTTCAGTAAGGAGTGTGTGAGAGAGTGAGAGCGGGCTGCGTACGCATCGGGGCTTCGCGCGCGCGCGGCTCTCCAGGGCAGCAGCGACAGCTCCTGCGCCGACCAGCGCCCGCACGGTTTACCAGTTGTTTGGTTCAGTAAGGAGTGCGTAAGGGAGTGAGTGTGGGTTGCGTACGCACCGGGGCTGCGCGCGCGGTTTATCAGTAGTTTGGTTCAGTAAGGAGTGTGTGAGGGAGTGAGTGTGGGCTGCGTACGCATCGGGGCTGCGCGAGCGTGCGCGGCTCTCCAGGGCAGCAGCGACAGCTCCTGCACCGGCCAGCGCACCGCGCGGTTTACCAGTTGTTTGGTTCAGTAAGGAGTGTGTGAGGGAGTGAGTGTGGGCTGCGTACGCACCGGGGCTGCGCGCGCGCGCGGCACTCCAGGGCAGCAGCGACAGTTCCTTCGCCGATCAGCGCCCGCGCGGTTTATCAGTTGTTTGGTTCAGGGAGTGTGTGAGGGAGTGAGTGTGGGCTGGGTACGCACCGGGGCTGCGCGCGCGCGGAGCTCCAGGGCAGCAGCGACAGCTCCTGCGCCGGCCAGCGCGCTACGCGGCTGCCCAGCAGGCGCACCCACGCCGCCTCTCCGCCGCCTGTAGCAAACCACACCCTCTAGGTCATCTCTCTTCTCAATCACATTTTAAGTACCAGCTAGCCATGCCGCATCCATATAATGGCTGCAGTACTCATGGCTCGCTTTAAACAAGGTTGGATCACGCTCTCACTGTTACCAACGTGAAATAGAAATATAGAACCAAAAACCCCTTATACTCGTAACGAGGCATTCCATCTTAATACTCAAAGTAACAAGACATCTGCTTTCTTAATCAATAATAGGTAAAGATGTCTATGAGCCAAAACATCCACTTACAACAATGCCTGCACCTTTATGTTTTAAAAAATTCTCTTTTTTAAGTTAATTGCCGGTATCCATGAGTCACATTAAGGTGGAAGCGCCGGCCGTCCGTCGGCCATATACATTTTTTTAATCAAAATATACACTAAACACAGACACTCTTTCTTTGAAACTAATCATTTTATCACTTCTCTACAATGAAATGTGTCCGGACCTTTATAGGCAATAACTTACATTATATACTGAGAAAAACAATAGTGGAATCCTGGAAAAACTTGACACTTCTTTAGTAGTGTGCGTGACTTTTGACAAGCAAACGAAAGGCGACGTTTAAACATTGGCACGCTAGATGGCATGCAAGTGATCTTAAATAATCCTGATAAATCAATATCTTAAGTCCAATAATTGGTGAATTTCCTTTCCAACCGTTAAAAAAAACAGTATAAAATAACATAAAACTAATGACCTTAGACACCTATGTTTTTTTTGTTAACAATTTTATTACTTATTATTGTTGTGTGGCAACATAAATACCAAAAGTCATAGGTAGAGCGACGTTGCCGTCCTTCCTGACCTTGAATTGACGAAAAAAAGCGTTGCCAAACTTCGTTCACCTGTTCGACTTGTTATAAAATACATTCTGATTTCGGTTGTCACGCGCTATGATTTGCGCGCGGAATTTCTTGTGTATTATTGATATTTTGTATGTATGTTTTCATTGATTCGAACTGCAATATTTCTCTAGTATATAATATTTGAGTCTATATTGTAATTTATCGTAGGTATAGTAATTAATTATTCTAAAAACGCAATTATGTTTTCGTTGGTATAAGAAACAGCAGGCTGGCCCGTCATTTTTCTGAAATATCGTCACAATACTGATTACCCACGTCATACATATATTATGAATGTGTTTGAATATGTTTTTGGTCAACAATAAATACAATTATTATAAATCAGTAAACTACCGAAGTACTAAGCTGCACTAAAAGTATCGGGAATGGAATATTTCCACTGTTCCTGTCATATTAAAATCTTTATATTTGAAAACTCCTTGGTTTTAAAAATCGAATACCATTTATTTATTTAAAAAAAGATCCTCGGTCTTGTCACAAAGTTTTGTCAAACTTGTTTAGTCGTTGAGAAAATTTAATTGACTCGAGAAAATTCAACAGCGATGATTTATTATGACTTTCGAAGTGGTTTAACACAAAAACAGTGTGTTGACCGGATGATTTCTGCATTTGGCGATAAAGCCCCATCCAAAACCACAATTTATCGCTGGTTTGCTGAATTTCAACGTGGACGTGTCAAGTTCAGTGATGATTCCTGTCAAGGTCGTCCAAAAACTGCAGTCACCCAGGAAAACGTTGATGCTGCGCGTAAGCTGATTGAGGAAGATCGACATGTGACATACCGCGAAATTCAGGCAACTTTATACATCGGCATGAGTCAAATACAAATAATCTTGCATGAACAATTAGGTGTAAAAAAAGTTGTTTTCCCGATGGATACCACATTCGCTCTGTGAAGAGCAAAAAGCGGCTCGCGTTACTTGGTGCGCCAGAACTCTCAAAAGATGACACGCAGGATCCTCAGATGCTGTACATAACATCGTATCAGATGACGAATCCTGGATATACGCGTACAAACCCGAAACAAAAAACCAGTCACGAGTTTGGGTGTTCGAAAATGAGTAAAAGAGTGTTGCAAAAAAAATGGTGGCCACGTTTGTCTCCAAAACCGGCCATGTTATGACTATTCCTCTTGAGGGACAAAGAACGGTTAATGCAGAATGGTATGCTAGCATTTGTTTGCCACAGGTCGTTTCTGAACTCTGTAAAGAGAACTGCAACCACCGCATCGTCCTCCATCACGACATTGCGAGTTCTCACACCACACACAGAACAAAAGAGTTTTTAGAGCAAGAAAACATAGAATTATTAGACCATCCGCCGTACAGCCCCGACCTAAGCCCTAATGATTTCTATACTTTCCCTAAAATAAAGAATAAATTGCGTGGACAGAGATTTTCATCACCTGAAGAAGCTGTAGACGCCTACAAAACGGCCATTTTGGAGACCCCAACTTCCGAATGGAATGGTTGCTTCAATGATTGGTTCCATCGTATGGAAAAATGTGACAAATTTCGCGGAGAATACTTCGAAAAGTAATGAATTTTTAAATAGTAATGTTGTGTCACTTCCTTGATTCCCGAAATTTTCAGTGCCGCCTCGTAGTCACAAAAATAAGCTTGCAAACATTTGCTAAATACGGTTTTGCTGGGTTACATTAAACACCTTTTTACGTATTTTTCAAACAGTTTCAGACAGACACACATTATTAGTTTGTTATATTTTGTGGAGCTCAAGTTCACGGATTATTTATTTATTTATTTATTTATATGGATCTCCAACAGTTGTATATATTAAATTACTTCTAACACATGCTTTACATCTATAAATAACTATGTACTACCAATTACAGGAGAACACATCATTCTAAAACAATAGCAGTGTTTATAATTTGCCTATTTTAATGGTATTTGGAACAAAAACAAGTTTTACGAACAAAAGAAAGTTAATACTTGTTATAATATAAATAAAAGTTAAGTTTGGCATAAAGTTAGTGAATAATTAATTTTCTAAACATTCGTTACATTTTTTCATAAAAAGTATGAGCCCGTCACAACCAATGTCCAGTGTTGCTATATTTTTTACACAAACATTGTATACGCGTGACATACGTGTTATTGGAGAATTCTGTCCAAGTTTTGTTCGAGTGCTGTCAGTCCTAAAGAAAGGACATGGGTTGCGAGGAGGTCTCCGAGGTACGTTAATATTAAATCTGCTCAACAGCTCACTGCCATTAATTTTACCATTGAAAAGTTTATAAAGAAATTTCAAATCAAGAAGAGATCTACGAACTGCCAGTGGTTTCAGCCTAAAGTAAGCAAGTTTATTATTGTAGCACTCACTATGACTTGACGCCTTAAAACGGAATATTAGGTGTTTAATGAGTCTTTTTTGAACACGTTCGATTCTTTCAATGTGGTTTTTGTAAGCGGGAGACCATACTTGACAACAATATTCAAGTTTGCTACGGACCAAGCTGTTGTACAGTTGAAGTATTGTTGTTACCTTTTTTGAAATCTTTAGACTGTCTAAGAACAAAGCCGAGCAGCCTAAAAGAAGCAGTCACTATAGAATTAATATGTTTATCGAATCTTAATTTGCTATCAAATATCACGCCCAGGTCTCGAATGGAATTGGTTTCCGTCAGGTTTTTACCCAAAACATTATAAGAACTCATTAATGGATTATTTTTTCTTGTGAATTTAATAAAACTACATTTATCCGGATTGAGCAGCATTCGATTTGTTTCACACCATTTTACAAGTCTATCAAGATTCGCTTGTAGTTCTAATACGTCAGATTCTTGCTTTATAACTTTAGCTATTTTTAAATCGTCTGCAAACAAATAAACCTGATAATTTTTAAATACACTTACTATATCATTAATGAATAGTACAAAGAATAAAGGCCCTAAATTTGATCCCTGTGGAACACCAGAAATAGCATTGAAAGAATCCGAACACTCGCCATCAATTACTACTCTGGCATTACGATTAGAGAGAAGAGAGAGAGTTATGGTGCGTTCAGAAACAAATATAATTCAGTTACATAAAATCCTTTTTTCTGTTCCGTGCTTTTTTGTAGAGATGGGCCAAATATTCGTTTTATATTCGGTATTCGGCATATTCGGCAGCTTTGCCGAATATTCGTATTCGGCCGAATATTCAGCTAATTCACCGAATATTCGTTAAAATGGTACTAAAATATGGACTGCATGGAAATGTACGAATTAAGTAATGACATGTCTTTCATAATTTTGCTGTTGAAAGTATTTTTATTTATGGGTTAAATTTACTTGTATAGCGTTGTGTACTTGTATAGCGTTATATTTTTGAGGCACTGTAGATTTATTTCCAATTAAAGCCAATAGAAAACTTGATAAAATCTTGTTTGGAATCAAACAAAGAAACATTACAGTCGTCAGTTTCTCTAAAATAGGCTCAAATAGTACATCTCCTCAAATCTCCTGCCACTCATTTTCATCATATACTTATCAATTTTCACTAAGAATAACACAACGAAATACTTTTTTTCTCACAAAAATAGTCAAACATAAGCATGTGCCGGCAATTTGTTCAGTACTATATTTAGATTTAGATGATGCAATAACATGACTGGTGTGGCGGGGGAGCGAGGGGAAGGGTCCGGCGCTAATCCCGCGCGCTTTACGGTAACAAGTTTCGACATAAATTGGTTAGGTACCGAGGTAATCCTGCCCCCAACAAGCTGTCGGCTGACCTGAACTGCCTCCTGGCGGCTCAGGCCGAGCCGACATAACACATCCCTTAATCTGCCTTAGTTAGGCACTCTTCTAAGCGGCTTTTCGCCGCTTGCGCCCTCCTTTCTGCCAAGGAGGGTCGCGGTCGTATACGGCTTAGAGATCTCTAGTTAGATCGTTAAGCCAGTTCCTAAAAGGTTGGGTTTAGTGGGTAAAAGGCACCACATAACCACGCAGCCGGCTGCGTGGTATGCTATGACCATTCCCAACCTCCCTCCCCCGCTTTCCGGAGGGTTGCCCATATTTGCTTCGGGCGCAAAATAAAAAAGGTAATCCTGCCGAATAATGTTCGGCCGAATATTCGGTTCGGTAAAAATTTTACCGAACTTTCGGCCGAATATTCGTATTCGGTGAAATCCATATTCGGCCCATCCCTACTTTATTGTTTATAAATAAATAGCTTATTCTAATCTGAGTTATATTTTTCTTATTCGTCGGCCAATTCTACCAGAAATATAAAGATAACATTGAAATAAAAAGATAAGTAAATTTTTGTACATTTTAGTGTTCTAGATCTTGTGTTCCGAACGCAACCCAATTCATATAGAATTGAAGGAAGATTTGTATATAAATTGTATATTTATATTTTTGTTTTACTAAAAGCTTTTGTTGAGTGCTTCGAAATTAGGAAATATTATTTTCACCTTCCTGGTTATTATCACAAAATAAATAGTGTTATAGATTTGTTGTTATCTCTTGTTTATGAATTATAGTTTCTTACATGTTGGTTATGAAATGTCTAATTATTTTAATAATTGATACTGTTACAAATCATCAGTGTTATTAGTTTGGAGTTAATAGGCATGTATCAGCATAATTATGTTGCTTCAAATAGGTACTTCGTTTTGATAAAAAATTCAATAGTGTAATGTAATAAAATAAAACTGCATTATATTGTAATCAATGTTGACATAATTTATTTACCAAAGTTATAAATCAATTAAATAGTTTACGCCAACAAATATAACTTTTATTTTTATAACAACCATACAAAGCGTTTTGTAATTCTGCCTACCCAATCTACACATACAGAAAAATTAAAAACTTGTTTTTTACATACACGCCATCTAGTGCTTCGTAAACGCTTCGTAAACGTAGGGATACGTCTGTGTACGTAAACGACACTATATTCAATGACAGATGTTATAATCAGACTTTGTGTCGAATTGGGTGGATTTTGAGGCAATGATTATGACCCATTCCAATAAAATGTATTATCCGATAAAGCCGCAAAGTCTACTCCTACGACTTAATAATTTTCCAATTACACAAAAACACAAATAAACTAAAAATTTTGACTTCAGCGCCATCTTGCGGGAGAATGGCTAGAAGCAGTCCGTAGGTTTCACCTTAATCACTTACCACCAAGCCAGCAACTAGTTTATAACTTCGTATGTCATTCCATTTATACGAGAAGAAATTTTTCAAACACAGTCTCACACAAAATTTGTTATGTCCGTAGGTAGCACGTAGTAGTAATTCGAGAATTAATTTAAAAATCGTAGTAGGTCCGTACGTAGGTGTACAAAATGATATAAAAATTACATTTGTTACCTATAGTTTCCTCAAACGTTTAAAAGGGGAAAATTATTTTTACAAAATTGGAATGTAATAATAAACATGTTCCGGTTAAACTGCTGGGCACATGCCTTTTCTGATATCTAATCTATAATACATATACGAAAATATAAAACATATGAAGTTTGTTGATGAAAATATGAATTCAAAAAGTGTCATAGCTACATCATCATCATTTCAGCCTATCGCAAGCTCACTGCTAAACCTAGGACTCCTCCATAGATATCACAAAGTACGGTCCCGAACCATCATCCACTATTCATCGACAATATACATAAGAAAAAAAATCTAACTTGGCAAAGTGTAGTTGGTGACTTCTCCGGGTAACGTGACGTTGTGCTCTTGCGTGCTATTGTCGGCCTTGTACTGCAGAATCCATTCCACAACTCCAGGGTTCTCCTCTGCGAACTCACGCCATGACACTAACACTCCGTCTTCCACCTTCGAGATTTTTACAGGTACTGTAGAAAAATATTAATTTTCCTTACTTAACAAACTGACTTTAACAAATTAAGTAGATGGAATTCATGTCCTGTTGAAACAACCGGCAACCATTTTGTTGAATTTTTATTGAAGAGCAAACTTTTTTGGAATCGTTGTAGTTTGTAGTTTCGCTTGTAGTTGAACTGCACAGATGTTTTTTTTTATATACGAAGAATAAATATTTCATTGAGTTAGAGTATTTCAAAATCATTTTAATATAATTGGCTGTAAATGGTAACCTTGTGGTATTCTAAGGCAAAAAAAAGGAATCCAATTACATAAACTTCAAAAGCAAAAAAGTTTGTATACAGTGTATAACCTAATAGGCTAAACCAGATGAAGTAATGGCTGTCAGCTTGAATCAGTTTTATTTAAAGTTGTTCTTTTGTATATGTACACATCACTTATGCAATCTTTACAACATCCACAAAATTTTTTAAAATTGCAAACTTTTCGAAAAAAAAACACATTTTTAATAGATTTACGAACCTCCTTGCCCCTGGCAGATGACGCTCTCTGACATGTCGCTCGCCACATTCTTCTTGCTCGAAGTTGGGATGTAAGCTCGGACCTGCAAAAGGAACATCAATAATAAAAATAGATGTAAGAAATCTAAGACATCTTTGAACTATAAATACACGATTGGGTTGACAGACTCAGTTGAACGACTTTATTTTATACAATTTTGTGGTAGTTTTATTAATAATAATTTTACTATGCCATGTCTGACGTAAGAGAAAAAGAAAAAAGGAAATGGTCAGCAGCAGAGAACACATCAACAATAATAATAAAATATTGCTGTGGCCAACCAGCCCAGCGTTGCAGCTAGCGCAAATGGGCATATGGGACTTTGTTTATCATTGGAATTTCCATAAGTTGTAATTATACAGTAGCAGCCAGGAGTCAGGAATGTAACGGTATTTACCTCGAAAAGTACGACGAAGTATTGGCCCTGGGCCTATTCTCTCTCGGGTCGTGTCAGATTTTTTTATAGGATAGGGTGACAAACGAGCACACAGTCCACCTGATGGTAAGTGGTTGCTGCGGCCCATAGACATCTACATCCATCCTCGATTACGAATCAAAATCCCATCACACTTTGAAAGCGAGAGAATGAAGAGTGTACCTGTGCGTTCGCTGGAACAAGTTCTATATTATATGTCCTATAATTCATACAATCCTGTCTCCGTTATGACTGAACGCCTGACTAAAATTCGTTCTGGAGGACTTTGTTATCTAAGGGTTCAAATTCGCACGAAAAAACTGTTTGAAAAAATTATTTGTTACAGATGTTCATGAGCCGTTTATATTTCTAAAACACCTCCACGTTATCTACCAAAGAACATTCTAGAGTGGGGATAGGATTAAGAAAATACCTGAAAGATGTAAGGAGTGAGCGGCTCTTTCACGGTGACAACTTCTTCGGTGTTGGTGTGCGGCTGGCCTGTCAATGCAATGCCCGGTTTGTCTGTAACAATAATAGTTATTATTAGTAAAACGAAAAACACGTTCCACATAAGTTATATTGAATTTGAAAGGCTAAAACCAGACTTAATTTATATTGAAATAAGCCATTAGAACCAGCTTTAGAAATATTGGATCGTAAGTAAAAACTATAATAGACTTAGACTTAAATTATCAAACAAAAATGATAATTGTATTGCATATTAATTTAGGTAAATTAAATTTTCTATATCTAATATTATTGCAAAATATTTAAGGATGTTTTCTATCTGAAAAGTGTAGATATAGAAGCTTAAAGGTAGACTTTGATTATGTTGAAGTATGGGTGACGAACGAGTATACTTTCTCAATGGTAAATGGATGATGTGACTATAGAAAACTATATCTAACCTATGTATGTACGCATCTGTATTTCGTAGAATCAAATTACGGACGCATTGCAAGTCACAATTGCAATTAAATCTTCTGCTGCGATTCGTCTAGTGAGTGCAGGTGAATGGAAGCCCAATCCCCCCCCCCCCCCTATCAGCATGCTAGCGGAAGTAGATTAAATACTATTCCAGGAGGGTACTAGCACCCCTGGTAAGAGCGTCCACGTGCAAGCTACTCGACCTCTGAGCGTTGGGTGCTTAGACTGCCCCACGTATGAAGGGGCAAGGGGTAGGGGGGGAAGGTACACTCAAGACAGAAGCTGTTCGGGGCAAGCTGAGCAACAAGACCAAGGCGAACCCTACCACGCTATCAGTGAATTTCTTTGAATTTTAATGAAGTTTGAGTGATTTTTTTTTTTGATTTTACTCAAACCTAAACGCCGTAAACTACCATCTAGAGAGCTCTTTCTAACCAAGACGCAGAGGTATTCTCCGGCTGATACTTCCTATCTTTCCTACCCGGGGTACAAATTGGAACACTCCTTTGTGCCTCGGACTGGAATTTCAGTATTCTTCAGAGAGAACATCTGTTATCGATGCCTCGGCTGTCTTGAAGTTTCGAATCTGTCTATCTTTTGGTTACGCGTAGACACTAACGAACATCCGCGCAGGTTTACTAATCCATTGGGCTATGTCGGTCACATTGGTTCTACTGCGGATATCCTCATTTCTAAGTTTATCACGCAGAGAAACCCCGAGCATAGCCCTCTCCATAGCTTGCTGAGCGACCTTGAGCGTCCTCATACGACCAGCAGTGAAGATTCTCATAGAATAGCAGCTTAATACTTCTGTATTTCGTATGGTGAGATCCGGAGCCCCTTTTTTACTGGAAACGAGGCATTCCATCCTGTTCCTCATTTTTTTTTAATTTAAATATTAGTAATCTTATTAATTAACATTACTAATATTCCTTTTAACCATTCCTGATAAGTTTAAAATGCTTGTGTTAGAAGTGGTTCACGACAGTAGTTGGATGGCGGATTCGAACCCATGAACTATTGAGTTCGCGATTCGCGCCCTGCATTTGCATCTGCATTTTGACTCTTAATTGAAGATAAATGTGGATGTGTATGGGCCACAGCATCCACTTATCATCAGGTGGACTGTGTGTCACACTTATTCTATAAAAAAAAACTAAAAAACGAGTAAACTCCTGCGACGCGAATGGTATGCCGCATTCTTAAAATAAATAATTAAATCCCTTTAAAGTCAAAGACTGTACCTACACGAATTCTTAGTGCCGTATTGTGTCATTGTGTAAGATAATAAGATTAAGTAATACAAGAAGTACACCTTCATGCATCGAGAAATAGAGACATTGCAAGAAATTCCGTTGGCTTATTGAGGTACCTAGTTTTTCTCTGTCACGTACAGCCAACAGTATATTGCATAGTGTACCTGCGCGCGTGGCGTCCACAGTGTAGGCGACGACGCGCGCGGCGGGCGGGCGCCAGCGCAGCGTCACGCGGCGCGCGCCGTCCGGCACGCAGCGCAGCGCACCCGGCGCCGCCGCCCACGCGCCCGTCACGTTCAGCCAACAGTATAGTGCATAGAGTACCTGCGCGCGTGGCGTCCACAGTGCAGGCGACGACGCGCGCGGCGGGCGGGCGCCAGCGCAGAGCCACGCGGCGCGCGCGGGCCGGCACGCAGCGCAGCGCGCCCGGCGCCGCCGCCCACGCGCCCGTCACGTTCAGCCAACAGTATAGTGCATAGAGTAACTGCGCGCGTGGCGTCCACAGTGTAGGCGACGACGCGCGCGGCAGGCGGGCGCCAGCGCAGAGCCACGCGGCGCGCGCCGGCCGGCACGCAGCGCAGCGCGCCCGGCGCCGCCGCCCACGCGCCCGTCACGTTCAGCCAACAGTATAGTGTATAGAGTACCTACGCGCGTGGCGTCCACAGTGTAGGCGACGACGCGCGCGGCGGGCGTGCGCCAGCGCGGCGCCACGCGGCGCGCGCCGGCCGGCACGAAGCGCAGCGCGCCCGGCGCCGCCGCCCACGCGCCCGTCACGTTCAGCCAACAGTATAGTGCATAGAGTACCTGCGCGCGTGGCGTCCACAGTGTAGGCGACGACGCGCGCGGCGGGCGGGCGCCAGCGCAGCGCCACGCGGCGCGCGCCGGCCGGCACGCAGCGCAGCGCGCCCGGCGCCGCCGCCCACGCGCCCGTCACGTTCAGCCAACAGTATAGTGCATAGAGTACCTGCGCGCGTGGCGTCCACAGTGTAGGCGACGACGCGCGCGGCGGGCGGGCGCCAGCGCAGAGCCACGCGGCGCGCGCCGGCCGGCACGCAGCGCAGCGCGCCCGGCGCCGCCGCCCACGCGCCCGTCACGTTCAGCCAACAGTATAGTGCATAGAGTACCTGCGCGCGTGGCGTCCACAGTGTAGGCGACGACGCGCGCGGCGGGCGGGGCGCCAGCGCAGCGCCACGCGGCGCGCGCCGGCCGGCACGCAGCGCAGCGCGCCCGGCGCCGCCGCCCACGCGCCCGTCACGTTCAGCTTCGCCCACGCGCTCACGCTGCTGCCGCCCGCGCCGCGAGCGAAGCATTGGTACACGCCTGTCACACACAACACATGCAAATTTATTTATATTTTTGAAGTAAAAACTTCTTGAAGCACGGTTGCCACTTTTAGGATGAGGAAAAAGCACTGAACTCGCGTGAGCTTCACGCTGAGATACATTTATACAGATGTATGTGTTGAACATCACATTCATAAAATTCCACCTCCCCCCCAACAACCCCTTGAAGAGATAAAGCCTTGACACATACCCCCCAGGGGCGGCATCAAAGGCAGCCAAATTTAGTAAATGGCGCAAATATGAGTCTTTGAGAAATGACTACATATTTGTGCCATTTGCGGTAGACTATCGGTCCGTGGGGTCCACGAGCAGTGAAATTCCTAAAGGAACTGTATCCACGGCTGGTCGTCGCTGCTGGTGATAAGAAGACTGGTTCTTTCCTCGCTCAAAGGCTTAGTATAGCTATTCAGCGAGGAAACGCAGTCAGCGTTCTTGGCACTATTCCACGGGAAGCAGGACTTTATGACTATTTAAATTTTTAGTTTCTTTTTTTTATATTGTGTATAATTAGTATTAATTGTAAATATTATAATTTTAATTACTATTTTAATTAAGTTTCTAAATATAAAATTGATATTTAGGTATTAATGAATTTGTAGATAATAGTCATTCTTTTCATATAAAACAGCAAAATAAATGACAATTTTATTACCATATTAATACGACGATAAAAATAATTTATAATAAATATACATCCTAAAAATATTTCTATTAACAACCTAAAAATAATTTTTACAAGTTTATGAAGCTAATAGTTCACTTCAGACGTGCAATCCTACAACTGATATATTTTTTAAATATCCCTAAGCCAGCACTTACTGCACTACTTAGTTACTACTGGCAGTGTAAGAAAATCAACTACACGGACTGTTTCGTGTCGTAACAAGCGACAGAGTTAAATCAGGCGACGGGCAACAGTCTTCCTAATAACGACTAAAAGTAAAAAAAAACTGCGGTTGCCAATCTGCTGGCCAAGCATAGTAACTAAATCAAATGTCCCTATGATGCAATGTATGATAAATGACTATGTTATGTAACTATTAAAGTACGTTCAGCAATGGACTTTAAAAAGATGTAACGGTCACGGTAATAAAAAAAACTAAAACTAAAAAGTCAATTTCGTAACTTCGGCTCACCTGATGGTAAGTGATTACACAAGTCTCCAAGGGTAAGATGCAAAAAAAGATCGCATCCCGTCCCAATCGGCTGACCTATAATGCCAAACACGGCGGCAACCTGCAGTGCGCAACCGCTATAGGAGCGTAAGTGGCACCGTATTCCAGATCAGACAATGGATCGAGGAACATTATTCTCAGTTTAATATGATCCGTTTGCCTATGAATATTCGAAATTCTAATATTAGTGTCAGGATGATTCTCGTAAACGTTGTCTACTTTATGCGTAAAATTCTAATCTCCTTATCCCTCACTGTTTTAGTTCAAATCTTTTACTCTCTCTGAGTAGGACTTTGGAACGAGTTACCGAACAGCAGCTTACTCTCAAATTATTTTCTCACTTTACAAGAGTGGTTAGTGATTTTCCGTTCTACTATATTATATTATATACCCTTCAAACACAAATGTACTATTGATCGCTTTAGTTCGCAGTTATATCGCTTGGAAGTATTCGCTTGAATTGTCAATTCAATTCACTCGGGTCGCGGTCGATACCAGCCTTATATATGGTCTTTTCTACTGAAACATCTAGAATGTTCGAGTACATACCGGTCCCAACTGACTAGGTGTAGAAAGCTCTGGCATGGAAATCTTCTTGTGAAGTGAGTGAGTGAAATGAGGATCTTGACTCTGTTCTCTTACTCGATACTAGAGGGCGCTAGTGGTAACTAATGTCTTCATGTACCAGGCATTCATTATAGCGCGCAACAGTATTTAGGTAAACCAAAAATTAAGCATACACAAATATTAACTGTGTACAATTATTAATCACTTCCGTTACCATTTACGTTACAGTCTATCTAAACTCAGAACCATAAACTTTTTCGTCTTTTACTAGACGGATTCTGCGGCCATAATACATTGCGCGCTAAGTAGCGGTCAAGTCTCCGTGACACTTTTAGTCGACTGCGAGCGGACAAGGAGCCTAGCTCTTTGTTTTGTAAACCGTGAACATTGTTTTCGATAATCTAAAACTGATTTTGTTTCTCCCGATTTTGATTATTGCGTCTGATCTCTCTCCGGTCGTGTCGGTTTGTAGTCCCATCGGACTATGAGACGGAGGAAACAGAGAGAACACTCTCTGTTCCCTCCCCAATCTATATCCCTAATCTGTGCTTGCGCATGCATGCACACATACGTAACATAGGCCTCAAAGATTGCCTCATAACGGGGATTTTGCCATAGTTGCCACACTCTGCAGGCGGGTAAGGTACCAAATATTAAAATTGTATTAAACAATTTAAGTGGTGTTGGCGCGAATCGAACTTCTGTGCGCATACTTTACGGTTTCACGTACTATGAAAAAATATTTTATTCCATTAGCCCTGACATACCACAGTTCTCAGCACATATATATTATAAAGGAAAAAAAAAGTGATATTTACCGGCATCATCCGACGTCACTCCGCTAATCACCAGCTGGATCTGACTACCATCAGCGGAAGTTCGTAAATTTATCTGAATTAAAAATACAAAAGGTATTTTTTTATTATTATCTTTATGTACATAACTGGAACATAAAATATTTAATAAATTAAGAAACTAAACTAAAAATTATAACTATCATACAGTTATACTCAACACAATACGGTACCATGAATGCTGGTTGGTGAAAGCTCAGTTTATTCAAGGTTACCTGTGAATAAACTGATCTTTCACTTTGAATAAACTGAGTTTTCAATGGATTTCGTTTCTGAGTTGTAACTATTCAGCGGTAAACAATATATTAAGCATTTATTTGTCAACTCATGCAAACTATTTACGATAAACGCTATATGTTATGTTACAGTTGAACTGCCCAGGACATTCATCATGGTAAAATCATGGAATGTTACAGTGTTTATTATACGTCACATAGCAAGGAATCACCGCATCGCAGCTCCGTAAACCGGCGCGGAAACACGTTTTTTTTAATAGAATTAGGGTAACATATGGACACACAGTCCACCTAAGGATGACAAATACATCGACGTCTATCCTCCAATAAGAATCAAAATGCAGATGCGATTTCACCCCTGAGATGGAATACCTCCTTTCCAGTAAAAAGCGTATCCGGTTCTCTGCACTCACCATACGAAGCATAAAAGCATCAAGCCGCTATTTCACGCTGATATTTAGTGACAGCGTGGTTCTTCCGCGGGCAAGCTGACCCCTTCGTGCTACAACCAAAATATGCTGTAGCGTGGCTCTACCACTTCAAAATTTGTTGTCTGTAGGTATGTTAAAATAACGTTCGAATCAAACTTAAATATGCACAATAACTTTAAAATAACTTACCCGTCCTGCCAGTACTAAAGGTTGACCATCTTTGTACCAGGTTATAACGGGCTCGGGTTTGCCGGTGGCCGTGCAGTTGAAGCGCACGGTGCTTGCTCGCTGCACCTCTTTGGAAGTAGGGGGATGCGTGATGTTCACCGGTGTGGTCAGAGTCACATTGAAGGTCTGGTGGAAATGACAACAGAATCAGTTCATAAGCTATATGTATCAATCTTAAGAAGAATAATTTTAAACGATATGTGGCTAAACCCCGTTATTTTTTATGCTTAGTAACATAAAACATGTTGATTTACAATTGTGTATAGCGAAAAATTTGAAACACATAATAGAAATCATCATCATATTATTTGCATTTCCCCCGAAGGAGTGCCCCGTTTCCAGTAAAAAGAACCTCTAATTCTCCACACTCACCATACGAAACACAGCAGTATTAAGCTGCCATTTTACGTATGTTTTACTCGAGTACAAAATTACTTGAGGGTTCTATATTCGACGCAATGATATTTATGTTTACCGATTTCTCAGAAGCGGCTATACTGATTTAAATTATTGGTTTTTTGTTGATTAATTTTTACTTTAAAGATGGTGAAAAGGAACCCAGGTTCGGGCGTCCTCTCAATCCGGCCGCGAAGGACCAATTGAAAAGGAAACGCAGCTTATTCAAACGTTCAACTAAGAAACAGAAGGGAGGAATCGAGGCTTCTCTCGATCCGGCCTCCTATAACGCCTACGTTGGGTTCGGGAACAACGTATGTGATCTCCGCAACGGAGTAACACACAAGGGCGATAACCTCTTCCTTTTCAGCAAGTAGGTTCAGACGGGGATTACGGGTCTTCCGAAGTCGTCCCGGTCCCAACGCCTTAATTCTTCGATGTGGACTGTATAACTTGAGGGATGAATTTCTTGGGAATAAAACAGCAATTATCTTCAAACCATTCCGTGAGAGAGTAATCACTTTTCCCTATCACTTCCCTACACTTTTTCTTTCTTCTTCTTATTGACTGCTGGTATGATTTCAATAAAACCCGTTCACTAAGCTACCCCAGAGCTATACGCGAAAGTGAGCCGCGCCATTCGCGTGCTTGCGCAACTTAATTACATGAATTTGTTCTATTACTCTCTCACGTTTTACTTAATCTCTTTATTTGCATAAGTCTTACATCAATACAATTTATCTATGTAGATAGCACAAAACAATATCTACACTACGATATACATTACGTTTTCATATCACGAAAAACCTTTTATTTATTAAATGAAATATGCCTATTTTACTCACAAGTTCGAAGTCGAAATTTCTTAAATATTTAACACTGAAAGTTAAAACAATGTTTTCCACTTGAAATTATACATAAGTTAACTAATACAATAGTTTAATTTACATTTTCTCTATTTATTTCACTATTTAAAACACTTTTAAATTTCTTATACAAAACTATCATTATTTCACTTATACACAGGAATTTTCACATAAAAATAACACAGAATTCACCTTTTTAGCACGTACAATCAACCTGAAATGTTTTATAAGTCATTTTTACATAAATTGCTGAAATTACAAACATTTTAAATTTTTACATATTCGGCCTCCTAAGGGCGTGGCCAGCGTGCTTCCGTGAACTCACACTATTTGAACAACTAACTTTTGCACGGCTCTCGGCTATCATAAAAAATGGAAGTCTGATATACACTAATTTTAACAATACTAGGTAAATTAAATGCTTTTACACAATTTTCGAACTGTAGGAAACTATCTCTAATCAGATTCTTATCAGTTATCATGTTTCTTATCAAACAATATAAGTGAATGTTTTCATAAATCAATCATGACAAATAGGCATTTGTTTTCGTACAAAACATATCAAACTTATATAAGACAATACTTATGCGATTAATTTCCGTTAATTCTATTTATGCACAGAGTGATCATCTCGACCGGGGAACAAATCCGATCTTTAACTTTATTTAATTATTCTTTTAAATTTACATCATTGGAAAGATGATTTCAACCGGGGAACCAATCCGGTAACATAATTTATACCTTAAAATTCCCTATATGAATTTATTGAAAGATATTACTTAGGAAAACAAATAAACTAGTCCGGCCTGGGAGTCGAACCCAAGACCTTAATATCATTAATTCGATATTTCTTTAAGATTTAACTAAGCATTTTCTTATCAGAACCTTGCTATTGGACAATATGCCTTTGAGAAGTTATTCGTCATCGGTTGACTTAATAAACTGAAATATTCTAATAGGCGCGTCGCCAACAATCTCCCCCCCCGTGCGTTAGCACCATCATTTGGGAGGCGTCGCGGGTACCAGGACTATTATTCTGGATGTAGGTCTCCTCAAGATACCTGTGCTAGTAATGACGTCAACCACTCTGGTGTGACCGTCTGGTCCCGGTAGCGTTCTACTAATTTTGCCTTTCGGCCACGTATTTCGTGGCAACGAATGATCTATTATCAAAACAATATCACCTTCTTTAGGTTCCATGAATTTTCCGTTATTACCCGTTCGAGGTATTAAAGTAGGCATGTATTCTTTCAGCCATCTTGTCCAAAAATGGTCGGCTAACCTCTGTGCAGCTTTCCAATTGTGTTGACCCGTCAGATGTTGCTCTAAAAATAATCCAGGTGGTCGATCACCACATGAGCGTCCCAGAAGAAAATGATTGGGTGTCAAACCCTCTTCAGGACTATCCATACTGAATGTTACCAGAGGCCTGGAATTTACCGTATGCTCTGCTTCTAAAAGCAGCGTATGTAGAACCTCCTCTCGTGGGCTCCTTTCTTTGAGCGTAGCGGTCAACGCAATTTTAATCGATCTTACTAACCTCTCCCAGGCGCCACCCATGTGCGGTGCTCCCGGAGGTATAAATTTCCATTTAATATATTTTTTAAATGACTCATTTTTCATGCCCTCATAGCATTCTTCGCATGCTTTCAATAATTCTTTATTCGCAGCTTTGAAATTTGTCCCGTTATCGCTGTATATAACGGCCGGTTTTCCTCTTCTGGCGATAAATCGCCTCAATGCCATTATCATTGACGCTGGTGTCAATGAGGCTGCTAATTCCAGATGTACTGCTCTGGTGGTCAGACACGTGAATAAAAGACCCCAACGTTTTTCGTGTCGCCTTCCTATAGTCACACTCATAGGACCGAAATAATCCACAGCTGAGCATGTAAAAGGTGCTTCATGATGAGTTATTCTCTCCAGAGGAATATTTCCCTGCGGCACGTTCTGCGGCTTTGACCTGTATGTCCTGCACCATTGACAATGGTGTGACACACTACGTACTACATTACGTAAGTTCAAGACATAAAATTTCTGGTTCACCTAATTCATCACCGTCTGGTGATTGGCATGTCCAAAATGATGATGAACTTCTCTAATCATCATTTTAACGATTTCGTGTTTACCGTCTAATACGACAGGTTTTCTACTTTCCTCGGTCAAATTAGACTTGAAAGGTAAACGTCCATTTAAACGGAGTAAGTTATCTTCTCCTATTTCCATAGATAATTTACTTAAGCGTGAACTTCTTTCAACGCTTTTGCCTGCTTTCAAGCATTTTATTTCCGAATGAAAACACTCGTCTTGAACGAACTTCCAAATTAACAATTCCGCTTTTTTCAAGAGCGCTATGTCCAACGCACCATCGGGTCCTTTAACCGACTTTGCTAAAACTTTGTTGGAACACATAACCGACTTTTCGGCTCTGACCTGCTCTGACTGCGGCTTTAACCGACTTTCTTAAACTCTTGAACTTTTCTACCGCTTGTAAGGTGCGTGTAGTTGCGTGTAGTTGGAATTTCTTAAAGCTGCTAAATCGTCCGTAGTCGGGTAGACGGTAACGGTTCTTGCTTTCTCAGCGCATTTACGCCCTTTGGCGATTTTTCTTCACCTGTTTCTAAGCTATTTATGGTGTCCACTTGTTTGGGCCATAAATCAGGACTTTTCCTGAGGAATTCAGGTCCTTGAAACCAGCGATGACTTACATCGAAGGTGGAAGGAAAATTTCTAGTGGCGTCATCTGCCACGTTCTGTGACGTTGGAACCCATCGCCATTCACATGGCTTACTGTGATCTTCGATCTCAGCCAATCGATGAGCAACGAATGGTTTAAAAGCGCGAGGATCTGACTTAATCCACGCTAACACTGCACGTGAGTCTGTCCAAAATACTCTCTCGGATATCTCGTACTTGCTCTCTTCACTAACCGATGCAGCCAGTCTGCTGCCCATTAGATCTGCTTGCAATTCAAGCCTTGGAATCGAAATTGGTTTCAGCGGCGCTACTCTTGCCTTTGCGGCGATCAGCGTAATCCGCCTTTTTCCTTGCTCGTCCGTGGTGACGTAATACACCGCGGCAGCGTATGCTTTTTCACTAGCATCCGTGAAAGTGTGTAACTCTCCCTTGCCGACGCCTTCAGCAACGGGTCTAGGTACTTCTAAATGACCTAATTTCTTCACTTCCGATATCCATTTACAAAATAACACGTGTAATCCGTGTGAAACTTCTTCATCCCAAGAGATGCCTGTCCTCCATACTTGCTGGATCAGCGACTTCCCTTGAATCGTTATGGGTGATGCGAGTCCTAAAGGATCGAAGACTGACATCACAGCGCTAGTTATTTATCTCTTCGTAGGTGGTCGTAAACCTTTCATCACCTCTTCCGGTGTGTTACGAAGACTTATGGAGAAACTTATTATATCCCGTTTGATATTCTAAATCAAACCTAATGTGCGCTCTGTGTGCTCTTTATCTCCCAGCGAAGCACTGTCGTTCTTATATTTATTTTCCATTTTACTTAAAACTTCGGGTCGGTTGCTAGCCCATCCCCTCAGTTGGAAAGAAGCATGTTTATGTAATGCATACATATCGTTTACTATCCTTTCGGCCGTCGTCACGTCGGGAAATGCCTGTAGATAGTCATCCATATAAAAATTGCTTTCCGTAGCGGAAGCTGCTTCTGGATAGATGTGTGCGTTGTCCTGCGCATTCCTATTCTTTACATATATAGCGATGCATGGTGATGATGCCGCTCCAAATATGAGTGACGTCATTCTATACTCTTCCGGTGGCGCGTCACGATTGTGCCGCCATAAGAATCGAAGGCTATCCCTGTCTTCTTCCCGGATTTTCACTTGCAGG